TACAATGCAAGGAGGGTGAAATTCCCCTTCCGTTGGATTGGGCATTGAATTCGTGTTTCGCTCGTCCTGAAAGGGATCGTGCCAGAGGTCTGTGCCATGGTCTTGCCTTCACCCATGCAAAACTTGTTGCCAATGATACCTCCATCGCATTGATGCTTGTGCGTGTTGATTAGACGGTTTGCGAAATATCCTTTCAAGCACCAAATGTCGCATCTTGATCATTACTGTTCGCTTGACAGTGTTGACCAACCAGCTGACGAAAAAAGTCAACCAATCAACAAATAACCGCAATAGTCAACAAGCTCCTTAGTTGACTAAATCACTAGTCAACCTGAGTGACCAAGAGGGCATCAAACTAGATCATTCAGCCTCGCAAAAACCACCAGATAATGTTGACCCATATTGGTCAATGTCAGCTTATTAACAATGGGGTGTCCCTGGTTTTAGTGAGGAATCAGACCACTTTTGGAGGGGCCCCCACCCGAATCAACATTAGAATTGTTTTCAACCCAAGCAACATCTTCTTATTGACACAGGCCCGTGCAAGCAATCCACATCCTGTACGCCGAGAAGCCTATTCATCTGCCATCAAATTTGGCTGGCACGAGGTGTCGGAGAAAACGACAGAAGTCAACATATGATACGCTATGAATCTGCTTACACTCCATCAACTGCATCCAGCGTATGGTTTTTCGTTGGCAAAGTCCCGGGGTCGGGTCACATTTGAGCTACATTGTTCATCAGTGGCACAAAGCAACCATGAAATGGCATTGCAGGTCGCGTGGCTGAGGCCAACAAGTATTCAACGTGTCAAAAAGGCCCAAGCTCACTTTTCTAGCTCTTCTTCCCACAAATCAGGTCACGCCCCTCAGCTAGGTTTTGCAGTGGAGAGGTTAGAATAAGGGTACCAACTGTTTTTTTGTAGTCTATTTAGTAGGGGAACCGAATCTCCCAACCAAAAAAGAAAGGGGGGAGAAGGGCAGCTTTCACTCAAGTTTTCAGGCATGAGAAGTCCTTGACCCAAGCATCTCAACCCGCGCAGCCAACAAGGTGTCTCAGCTTCACACGTGACTGGCGCAGCTCCTGGCGCACAGGCCGACCGCGAGACACTTGGCGCAGGCCTGCAGGGCCCCTCTCAAAATCCTCAAAACAGAAACTGGGGGCAGCTGGCCTCGGCAACACGAAGAAACCCTCCCACCAGCTAACATGGGCTGGTGCACAGGCCCCTGTAGAATCACTGCTTTCCTCTTGGAATGGGCCTTTTTGCACTTCCATGTTAGTTGGTGGGAGGGTAAACGACGCACGGCCCGGAAGCAAAGAAAGATGTCAGCTGCGATGCAACCGTCTGATCCCAACGAAGCAGGGGAGAAGTGATCGACCAATCTAGCGAGCGGCTTCAGGCTCACAAACTCTGCGGAATGATGCGAACAAGCCTCACCGGGACCACTTGCCAAGAATATAATCATCACCACCATCACCACCACCACCACCACCATCATCATCGTCATCGTCATCATCGTCATCAAAACATGGCATTTTGGGTCTAAGAGTCGCCTCGCTCCTCGCATGCTGCTCTTCAGCGGTTCCCCAGACTCCCTTCCCTTCGCCAAGTCAAAGGCGCCCAGCTTGGAGGAAATGGATGCGACCCCCACACCATAAAGGAGAAACCCAATGTAACACTATGAAGGCCCAGCGAAAACTCCAATGACCACCCTCAGCAAATGCAAAACATAGCTCAAAAGGACACTTGTTCTGGGATGAAACAACACTTCTTTTCCAGGTCTCTGTTGAATGGCTATGGGTCTTGAAATTGCATTCCTAGAGTTGTCTTTTTTGCGGAGTCTCGCTTAATCTTTGAAAACATGCAAAACGCTTGCGCTCACAGCGCAAGCCTTACGCAACCTCAGCTCCGCCCGCCCAGTCCTGCGTGATGGTTGCCACAAGGACCTGTGATGGCAGCTGAGACTTGCGAAATATGCAGGCACAAAACGTGGCACAAGAGACACCAAGCTTGAGAACCTGCTGGCTTACCATGGATGCGTGCACAAGCACGAAGTCACACCAAGTCCAACAACAGCTCCAGTCTTTTTCGGCGCCTCGGCTCTGTTTTCTTTGTTGCCATCGCTTGTGGCATTTTGGGGCAGACTGTTGATGTGGCTGATAGTCAGCTGGTCTCGGCTCATGCTTTTTGCAGCTTAAAACCACCACCCTGCTGCCAAAATCTGAGCAAGGGACTCAAAGCCAAAAAACAACTTACTTTGCGTCCCATACCTGCTATGCTCCGCCTTGCTCAACCCATTGTAAAAAGTAGCGGGGGGGGTTGGGGGGGGGGGGCGGCAGCGCCCCCCATGATGTTCAAAGAAGTGATGATTCAAATAGGGGTGCAATTAAATCTCTGTAGAAAATCTAAAACTTAGTGGGGGGGTTGGGGGGGGCTGCCGCCCCCCCCATGATGTTCGAAGAGGTGATGATTGAAGTAGGGGTGCAATGATTCAAGAACGGGTGCGATAGAATTTAAAAGGCAGCGGGAGGGTTGGCGGGAGTGGCTTCCCCTATGATGTTCGAAGAAGTGCATACATACAGACATACATGGATTACATAGATTACCTGAAATGTTGTATTTTACAGCATCTTCTCGCGAAATTGGACGCTCGAAAAAGTGATGATTCAAATAGGGGTGCAACTAAATCTCTGCAAGAAATCTAAAAAATAGCCCGGGGGTTGGGGGTGGAGGGCAGCCCCCACCATGATGTTTGAAGAAGTGTTGATTCAAATAGGTGTGCAACTACTCTGCAAACAATCTAAAAAGTAGCAGGTGGGTGGGCGGGAGCCCCGCCCATGATGTTCGAAGAAGTGATGATTCAAACAGGGAGACAACTGGTGATGCTGATGATGCGGGAAGCCAAATCCGAAAAACCAATGAAAGGGTGCAAAAGCCAAAACGCCGCAAAAGCCAAAACGCCCGGAGAGGAACTGGGAAAGCAGAGGATGCGAAAAGCCAAAGCCGCCAAAAGCCGCATAAACCAGCGAAAAGCTGTAAAAGTCAAAGCGTCACCTGCCGAAGAGGAATTGGGAATGTAGAGGATGCGAAAAGCCAAAGCCAAAAAGCCACCAAAAGCCGCATAAACCAACAAGATGCCGAAAAGCCAAGAAGCCGAGAAGCCAGAAAGCCAAGAAGCCAAGAAGCCAAAAAGACAAAAAGCCAAAAAGACAAGAAGCCAGAAAGCCAAAAGCGACAAAGAAAAAATCCAAACAAAAAAGGGGGGAAAAAGAAAGAAAGAAAAAAACACCTAAAATACATACCCCTCCTTTTCGAACATCCGGGCTCCACAGACTAAACTTAGTCCAGGTGGCATTATACTGCCTCATGTGTTTTGGGGCAAAGGCGGTCAAGGCTGCCTTTGCCTAACAAGACATCACTCCAAAAAATGTGAACAAGCACGCGCCGATATTGACACAGGACTCCCAACCAGCTTGCCTACGCAGCTTGATGTATCATGACTTGTGAAGCATGCATATAAATGTATGGCTGTGAATTTGCGACACCAATACCGGCGACCTGGCCTCTCTGGACAGACTTTCACGGTCTTGGACTCGGACTGGTATTCCTCGACAAGTTTGAGTACAAAAGCTGTGGAAGGATGCGACATACATGACATGCCATTTGAGATGCCAACAGTCAAAAGCGAACTCTCTCTTCCCAAGGCGTCACGCCCACACAGTTTCACCATCAACACATTCAGAAGCTTGCCTGCTCGTCACGGCTGCTTGTGCAAATCGACAGCCTCGGCTGCAGGCCCAGAGCGTTGCAACGGAAGCATGTCCACTCTGTCTCTTCATGTGTAGACTTCCTTTGTTTAGCAACTATTGGATCGAAATTTCTTTCAAGCTGGTACTGCTGACAAATGGCTTGCGGGCGTCTGCCTGCGAAGACTTTCATGTCTTCCGGGACAAGCAATCGGACCCCGGGACGGCTTTGCCATGTTCAGTTACAACGACGTTTGCAAGACACAGTGAAGCAGACGTTGTTTTTGACCTCGGCGTGTGGTCTCAGTTGCAAAAGGCAACCTGAAACGATTTAAACTTGACCTATACTGATGCACTTCAACCTCATGATCTACCCCAGAGTGCTCTTTGACTCCCTTGAGATTGCACCTTGGCTTGCTTGAAATTGCTCCTGGACTCCTGTGAGATTGCTCCTTGACTGCCTGATTTTGCTACTTCGTCTACCTCGTCTATGACAGGAACTGGTTGGCCCCGCTTGTCCTCATTGCCCCTTCGGGGGGCGTGTGATTGCTGAGGGTCAGATTTACCCTGCCACATCGCCCTGAAACCTTTGAGGATGCAAGGAGCCTGGCCCAGTGTCCAGTTTTAACCGTATCGGCGGATTTAATACCGCGGCCTTTCCCTCGCTCCCCTGCCGAGCACCTTTTGAGGCGCCAGCTGACCAGGTCTAGCGGAGCCTTGGATAGCAGGCAGGAAGGCAAACAGGCAAACGGACAGACAAATGAGCAGACAAACAAACACAAGGAAACTGTTTACCCCTCCCCCCAACAGTCGCTTCCCAATCCTTCCTGGATCAGCTCCAGGCACACAAGCCGCCTGAGGCTTGGGCGAACGGTCTGGCGGCCAGGAGCTGATCCGCGCTCCTGAAGGCGTCGGCCAACTGCTATCGCCCTCCAAAGCAAGCGCCAAGTTTCAGGCAACTGCGCTTGAAATCAACTCCTGAGACCTGCAAAGCCCGGCAGCCGCTTGCGGCTGGGCCAACACCTGAGCAACGCGCATATGCCAAAAAAAGATTTGCGGCACGAGGATGGTTCAGATAAACACGGTTGAAACAGGAAGTAGACCCCCTCATCTGCTCACCTGGGAGTGATGAACAAAGCATCGCGGTGTCTTGATTTCTGTCATGCGGGATGCGCTTGGCTTTGTTCATCAATCACAAACTTTCCCTCTCGACCCACGCATCGCTGCCTTGAACTCTCTGCTTGCGGCGGACGTCACTTCTCCCTCTCCTTGCTCTCCTGGGTTCCGCAGCAAAGGGCCGACCCGAAAGTGATTCTGGTTCTTGTCACGGCAGTCGTTCAGATTCTGTCATGCACTTTTTTTGGACGCGTAACTTCGAGTACAGCAAATTCGCTTGCTTTCAGTTTCGATTTGGACCTGTTGCCTACCATCCACCAACTGAAGTTTCTTTGGTCTTTCGGCGTTTGAGATAAAAACGTGTCAGAACATGCGAAAATGGACGAATTCGCCTCGCGCCCCAAGGGGGCCAAGGGCGCTCAGATCTCATTTCCCAAAAAGATTCTTCACTTTTCCCCTTCCCCCCAACCCCCTAACCCATGTCTGCTGACCCTAAGATCCTGTCCGGCGGGCCTTGAAATTTTCGAGGTTCCTTGGCTTTTGGCCGCAAATGCGTTGTATATGGCAGAAATCGCCAAAACTATCTGACGTGTCTAAGACTGGCCTCAGCCCTAGCCCCAGCAAGCCCAGCTCAACCAACAACCGACAGAGGCTACCCATTCAAGCAGCAACCAGCAACCCGCCACAGACAGACATTCCATGGGCCGCTTTTTGCCGCAAATGCGCGACAAATGACATAATGCTAAAAACTAGTTTTTCATGACCTCCTTCTGGCCAGGCCTGTCTGACGTGTCTAAGACCCGCCTCAGGCCTAGCCCCAGCAAGCCCAGCTCAGCAACCCACAGAGCAGCAACCAGCAACACAGCCCCCAGCCAGCACGCGGTGTGTCTGACCCAGTCCAACACCCCCCTCGGCTGGGCCGAGGCGGGCAGCGCAGCGCTTCGGCCAACTAGGCCCTTCTTCAACTAGAAACAGGCCTAGGGGCCTAGGTGTAACAGGGCGATATGTGCCACCCCGCGCCCGCGCCCCGAGCCCGAGACTCGAACGCCTGACCCAATCCGGTCGCGGAATTTTGTGTCGGAGCCTCGCATAAAAGAAGCCCGGGCAACCCCATCAGGGTGAAATTGTTGAGGATATCAATCCGGCCCCGTAAATCCTCTTCGCGCCTTCCTCTTCCTTTGAAACCGCGCCCCTCTTTCTCTTCTCGTTTTTCGTGCGCAGCCCGCCTTTCGTTACGGGCTTTAGTTCTGGTTCCAGGGCAGGGGTTCTACGAGCAGCCCTGTGACTACAACCCTGCGCGGCGGCTGGGCCTCTTCCTTTGCGACGAGCACTTTATCCTTTCGCGGCGTGCAAGAAGGCCTTCTTGGACGAAAGGTTCAGCATAGCGTACACACTGCCCCGGCTGCACTTCCCCGCCAGGAACTGTGCCCTCCAAAGGTCTTGCCTCCTGGCAAGCTCCTGTAGCAGCGTGCGTGGCTGGAGGGAGCGGCGCCGCGACCTTCGTGCGAAGGACGCAGCAGAAGTCGACCCACCCCTCGCACAAAAAAACGTAGAGCAGTCGTAACAGGAGGGCCCATGGAGGTCCCCTGCCAAGAACGATCAGAAGGAGCATCCACAAAAATGAAACCAAACATCAGTCAGGCCCCCCGTCAGATGCTCCGCCCACCGCCCCGGACCCGAAGCCAGCTCCGCAGTGAGCTCCCCCGTGACCAACGGAGAGCGTGCTGCACTCTCCATCGACTCTATGGCGTCACGGAACGACATGGTCACGGGTCAAGAAAGAACAATATTTGTTCAGCGCTCAGCCACTTGAGCCAAAATGGCCAACAAACTACCGACTGTTCAATATGTGCCCAACTATCCCTGCACAAAGAAATCAAACACAAAAGAAGGAAATAAGCAAACGCGCAAATCGGCTCTGCGGATTCGTCCTTGGCTTCCTCTGAGTCTGCACTGGACCCGGACCTCGTCGGGCAAACTTGGCAAGTACAGTTGCCCGCTAAAACAAGCACCACCACCCCTTCTCAATGGACAGCTTCAATAACTTTCTGCGGCTGGATGTGGGATACAGCCTTCTCTCCACCCCTAAGTTGACACAGCGGATGTTCCAAGGGACTTGCGCCAAAAGCAACCAACTTTCGCCGTGTCAGATTCGAGGCCGCAGCTCGCTGGAACTGGAGTCCGAGCTCGAGCTCGTGTCCGACTCCTCGCCGCGCGGATCCTCGGCGGCTGCCTCGGGCTCCTCGGCTTCTCGCTCCACCTCGGAGTCCAAGATCTCCAGCTCAGGCAGATCCTCCTCACCCGCCTCTCCTCCTGGAAGGGATATGGCAAGCACGGCTTGAGGAGTTACTGGAAGCTTGCTATCACCCCGCAGCCAATTTCGCATGGGACAAAATCCCGAGGAAAACACGAAAGAAACACGGCTTATCTATGGCCCCCCCCAATGGTCAGTGGATGTGCGTCTTTGTTCATGTTTGAGTCGGTACCCCCTTCAGTTCGCGCCACGCTGCGCGACGTGTTAATCTGGATATAAACAAACGACGCATGTGGCTTCGCCCTGCGACTCTCGTCCCAGCCTTGGGGCTGCTTCCGCCGGCGCCTTCGCCGCCTCCGCTTCGGAAAGGTCCTCTGAAGCGCCCAGAAGGCGGCCGTCGGAGCCCCAACCAACGACCGGACCTGTGGATGAAGCCCGTGGAGGTCAGCCCCCAACTTATAGTCAGTTGGTCAGTGACCCTGGAAAAAAAAGGGAACCCCTTTTTGGGGAAGACCATTTTTAGTGGGGCAGCCAGCCAAAAAAAGAGGGGGAAAAAGGGTGCCACTGAATAACTGAGTTATAGAAGCTGACGAGGCAGCTTTGGACTTCTTTCTTTTGAAGCCAGTGGAATGAGGGCCGGAGGTACAGACCGATCTGAGAACGCGCCCTGACCAACCAAACCTCTCCGCGCTGCAGGTCGAACCCCACTGCCCCAGCTCCGCGTTCGTCAACTTGCTGTCCGGACAGCAAGAGAACCGTTGAATCGGAAACGTACTTTTAGCGATCCACCCTTTTTTCAGCCAGTGGTAGGCAGATGTGCTTAAACAACCAGACCCCTGGGTCCCCTCATTCTCAAGTGGCGCCAAAAGGGAGGTTCGTTAAACCACTGCCGTTTGTATAACAAAAGACCTAATGAACTGATGCAGATGTCGGTCCTCTTGGCCTCGCCATGAGCGGCGTCGGCCGGAAGGTCTTTGGGGTCCTTCGGATCATGGCCTCTCTCCTTCTCTTCTTCCTCCTGAGAGCTTGCGATCGATTTGCCGCCTTCCCCGAAGGCCAAGTCTGAATTTTCGTGCGGTCTGGTTTCTGAAGGCGGCCCCTTTCGGAGTGGGTCTTGATAAAAATAAAAAAGCTAGATAAAGGGATGACCCAAATGGAGACCCGCCATTTCCCCGGTGCTTTGGGGTTCCCCAACTTTTGAGAACCCCAAAATGCCCGCAATCAATCCGTTGCGTTGCGAAGCCGCCTCTTCCATGGAGTCCGCACTGGCCGTCCTGTCAGGCGCAAGGCACTCGCCCCGGGCTGCGCGGTATCGACGCGAGCGGCGACCGCTTGGCCGTGACAGCTGCGACCCTTTGAAATCCCGAAAAAGCATCAAGCACTTGGAGGCAACCCAGCCTGCTTCGACCTATCTCAAAACAATGAGGTTCCCAACATGAGTCGTGGGCTTGTGACTTCCCATACCCTCAAGGACCCGGGCATCCAGCTTGCAAGCTCTCCCGCCTGCTCTTCTGGCGCCGGACTGACCTCACCAGCTTCTCCGAGTTGGTGCCGCGCATGGACCTCTTGGCGGGGAAAGAACTCGGCGGGAGTCGGTGAGAGTAATTTACGAACCCAAAACGAAAGTAGATGGCACAACTCCCACGTGCCATAAGTAAGGGGGATGACTTTAGATGGATTTGCGCCGTTTCACCCAACTCTGCAGCCCCACAATGCAAACCCCTTTGAAATTTTAAGGATAAAGCGAGTGACCACACGCAGTTGTGGCGGTTTGATTATGGCTCGCCTATTTTTAAACTTGGGCCGGCTTTCGGACCAAAACTCATTTCAGGTGTGTCCCTGCTTTGCAAGTTAGACCCTCTCGCTTTAGCCTGTCATGTGGGTGGCTCGTCTTTTGAGGGTACCTTCGGCCTTGGTGTCAAAGGGAAACCAAAGGACAACCACCACCTTGGGGTCCCCTGTTTTTTAGACAGCCCATGTGCTCTTCCCATCAACGCAACAAATATCCGAGAGCTCAGCCGACAAAATTGTACCTGCGAAAAATGTGTAAATGTAATTATGTACATAACTGGAGAAACCAGAAAAACGGTAGGACGGGGTGACCATACCGATGCATATCTATGCATACATCTATATATATATATATATACATATATATATATATATATGTGTCATACATGCGTAAAGATTATTACAATTCGGGCTCCAAAACCGACCAAACCTCAAACCGACCTGGCGTTCGCCCAGCCGGCGCTGGCGCTCGCCCATAGTCTCCGCGTCTCAGCTCCGGGCTTCAGCCGCTCGAGCGCCCCCACCGCGGACTTCTTCACGGCCTCCTCCAGAAGTTTGAGGTTAGAATAAGGGTACCCGACTTTTGGTCTGTAGTCTATTTTAGTAGGGGAACCCTCCCCCAAAAAAGGGGGAGAGAAGGGCACTACTGGGGGACCTAGTCAAAATCAGCCGCAATGAAAACCAACCAACCAACCAACCAACCAACCAACCAACCAACCAACCAACCAACCAACCAACCAACCAACCAACACCAACCAACCAACCAACCAACCAACCAAACAAAAAAGGGGGTTCCTGCCCCAACACGACTTGTTTCGTGGTTTCCTTGTGGTCTTCCCTTTATACCCAGTGGAGCCACAATCAAAACGGATTCGGGTAATTAGAGGGAAGTAAGGGACAATCCCCTTGCCATAAATGGGTGCGGAGTGCCGCCTGCTCAATTGTTTGCATGGTTCGGGGAAGACCATTCTAGTTTCTAATACCGGGTTTTGAGTCTGACTCAGATGGCTTTAGAGACAACCAGGAACCCCCCCCTTTTTGGTTGGTTTAGGAAACAAAAAGGGAAACCACAAGGAAAAAACATCAGCCCCCATTTTCGCTTGGTTTGGGGAAGCCACAAGGAAACCGCCAAAAAAAATAATTATCCCCATTTGGGAGTGTGTGTGTGTGTTGTACGGGGAACCTCCCTTTTTGGTTGTGGATTGAGCCTTTCTTTCGAAATGAGTTTCTGCCAGAATTGAATTGAGCGTGCTATCGCGCGGCCAATTTTCCATCCCTGGAAAAACGCCCAAGGAAAACATGAAACACCGCGGCTTATCCATGGCCCCCCCCATGGTCAGTGGATATGTGGGTCTGTCTTTTTTGGAGTTGCCCCTTTTTGGGCTGTTTTAAGGGAGAACCAAAGGAAAACCACTTCTTTTCTTCGGAAGGGGGCTCCTGAAAAACGGATAGCCCGGTGTGTCAAAATAGGAGGATTAGAGAATGAGTCTGCTCCAAATCACAGCGCTCACATCTTGGGTCCTTCCCCTCGCAAAAATGTCCTTAACCTTTCCCACGGCTCGAACCAGCCTTCTGCATGTGCTCCCTGTACAGCGCAAGGGCATCATCATCCACCTCCTTCGCTCGCCAATCAACCGCCAACCGAACCACGACCTTTCGAGCGATGGATCAAGATCCATCCGATGGCCAGCTCCGAAGCCGAACTTCCATTTGCTTCTTCGCCCCCTGGAAAAACTGAGAACACATGTCCAGTGAAATCGATTCCAACTTTAAAACCAACAAGGGATTTTGTTCAAAAAAAAACAATGTTTTAACCAAACGGCCAGCCAAAGCTTTGGAAAATGTCCCCCCCCCCCCACCCCTCCCTTCCCTTTGTCTCTCTCGACTCCTGGCCCATGAGCTTCTGAACCAGTCGTCGGGACTCCGCCACCTGAAGGGTTTAAATACTTGGTTGACGTTGAAGGGGAGCAAAAATCCACAAAACAATTAGCAGTTCAGTGGACTTGGATTTCAGCCACTAAACCACAATAAGCAAAAATGGGAAACATGTTTCCCAACCACAACCATGTAAAAGTTGCGCCAGGGCGCAAGGCGGACTTGGACGGGCCACCAACAAAACTGCCCCGAATGAAAGATGAGGTATGCATGTAGGTGGGGTTTGGAAGGTCGACAGAGACCGCGTGTTCCTTGTGATTTTTCCGTGGAACCATGTGAGTCACAACCAAAACACGGCATTGAACTGGTCGTAATCCCAGAGCCATGTAAAGAATTGAGAAGGCGGCCGAAGCTATTTCTGGTTGGGAGCGTCCCTTGCTAACTGGTTTAATTTTGACCCATACCCATATGGGTGTGGCTCAAAATTAAACAGAAGGGGTTACGCAGGTATAGGTCCATGTTTCCCCTTACCTGGGTTTCATTTTGGTACCGGTTTTTTGACCCACACCCATATTGAAAAGAAACAAAGGTGAGCCCTTCACTCGTCTGGATCCTTCCCTCGCTCATCCCCAATCCAGGCCGCCCCACCAGTCTGGCCACACGGCCCCTCCTCAGCGGCCGGAGAGTTTTGAGCGGAGTTCTTGAGATATTCCACGCGAAATAGTTGTATTTGCTTGTTTTATTATTATTCTTAATACTATTATTACTATTGCTATTACTATTAGTATTATTACTAATTAGTATTATTTATCATTATTTTTATTATTACTAGTATGTATTTACTGTTTTTTGAAAAAACAAATAGGAAACACACACACAACAAACAAACAAAAAAAGATCATGACATTGCCCGGGCTGTCCTCCGATCTCCTGCTAAAAGTTTAGAACTTGTGGGTGAAATTCGGAAACCCAACAACTAAACCAACTAAAAACCACTAAAAAAATCCCAAGGAACCAGATGGCTGGGCTTGCCACCCAAATTGCTGTGTCTCCCGGACATCCCGCTGGTTTTCGCGGTTTTCGTCTCGTCCCTCTACAAGGAACCAACAAAAATCACATGTTCACCTCACCTCGGACCTCATATCGGCCTCCAAGAAGCCTTGCGGCGAGCTCCTCTCATTCAAGCCGCGGTCCGGCTTAAAAATTCGTCGCTTTTGCAGAGACCCCGACCCTATCAACGGGACGGGTTCTACTTAGATCCGGGGTCCCTACCCTAAACCAGCCGAAAACACCCTAAACCCACCCCACACCCCACACACCCCACGGGGAAGTGCTTCATCTGCAGAGCCGAAGCCTGGTTTTTTGGGGGGTTTTGGGTTTAGGGTTTTAGGCTTAGGTGTTTTGGGATTCCTCGTTTTTGTGTTTTCTGTGTCTTTTTAGGTTTAGGGGTGGTTTAGGGTCTTGTTTCAGGCTCCGAGAAGGCGCCAAAGCGGATGAAAATGGCCCCATTTACATTTAAAAAAACAGAGGGGACAATTATATATGTATATATAAATACATGTATGTGTATGTATGAAAATAGGCGAACGGGTGAAAACATATACAAAACCTTAAAGATATATATATATATATATATATGCCTAAATGTGCAAATGTGTCTTTTTGGGGGGACCCAGCAAATGGTGTTTGTTCTTTTGACACCACCAAAAAAAAGAGCAGGGTACCCCCATTTGGTGGAACCCTTTTCACGGCGCTCTGGGCTCCCCCGGCAGCCCCCGGACCCTCGGCTGGCCGGGCAGGTCCTCTGCCTCAGAGTGGTTGACAGGTCCTCCAGTGGTTTGAGGTTAAGTTGGTACCTGGATCGCCAGTTGCGATCGCTTTTTTCCATCCACTTCTTAAACACCAACAAACAGTGACTGAAAAAAGCAGCAACTTGGCTATCCAGGTACCGACTCTTTTCTTCTTTGTCTATTTTAGCGGAACCCTCCCAACCAAAAAAGTTGGGAGAGAAGGGCACCGAGCTGGGGGACCCAGTGGTTGAAAGGAATCAGCAGAAGGAAAACCCGCCCTTTTTGCGGGGCCAAGTCCCCCATTTCCGCACACACGGGTTCCCAGGGTTCACGGCAACAGGACAGCTGGCCTCCCTTGCTTGATCCACCGCTCGACTTGGGGGAAATATCAGCGTTGCAGTAGATGGTTTGGTGGGGAAGGGGTGGCTTGCTCATTTACCCTCAAGGCAAGGGTTCAAATCCTAATTCCACATCCAAACCACTGCCAATCCAAATCACCAACTGAGGGTATGGGTGTCAGAAGGGTTACCTGAAAGTAGGAGGCAAAAAGTCCTTGATTTGAATAAGAACCCTACAAGTGGAAGAAAAAAGAAAAAAAACAGACTTGGGCCTGTTGTTTTACAATCAGGGACCCTTCGGACAGGATTCGGCGGCGGGGATTATGAAACCACCAACCACTTGGATGTGTTTCCAACTCTTAAGACTCATAGCAGTTAGGGTAAGAACCCTGCAAGTACTGGGAGAAAACACCTATCAGCTCATGCAATACAGGATGAATCTACATGACACAACTCCCTGTATGTGGAGAATCGAAGGGGATGACACAACCCAAATGGGGAATTGTGCCTTCTACTCTAACCCAACTGTGCCAGCAGAGGAAAACACAAGATCGCTTTCCGCAGCACAACAAGTTGTCTCCCTGTGCCTTGATTTCGGTTAAGGACAAAGATGCAAGCTCTGCAGCAACAACATGCCCAGCATGAATGTGTGTGTCAATGGTGTCTCAATAAACCGACTCTCCTCAAGAACTGGCAAGCAAGGGCGTTCAAGCAAACTTGCCGCTGTCTTGTGTGTGTGTGTGTGTGCGTGTGTGCGTCTGTGTGTGTGTGTGTCTTGTCACGGAGCGCGGATCTCCCGTCCCTTTCCAATTTGCAAAGTGCTCTGCAATAAGCGGGAAACCAATAGCTGAGCGTGAATTTTCGTAGGGAACGCTTTGGCGGACATCAGAAGTCGGCGGGGATTTATGTCCACCACTTGTGAGGTGAAACCTCACAGCCAGCCCTGTGGTGCTGGTACTGAACCAATGGGCCGACCTACGGAACCCTGAAGCTGACGCCTGCACCTTTCCTGCATGTAACTCTCTTGGCCGCGAAACGAAAAGGACTGAGAGCAGCACCTCAATCTCTCTCCTCCTGGCCAGGTCAAACCGGCGAAGCGGATAGGCTTCTCTTGCAAGTGCCTGCTGGGAAAATGTCTTCATTTCAGGACCTCCGAACGGTTGCTGCTGAATCCGCTTTTTGCAAACCGTCCACGGGACAGAGAAAGAGAGAGCGAGAGAGCGAGAAAGAGAGAGAGAGAGAGAGAGAGAGAGAAAGAGAGAGCTCCCTGATGTTCAACACTCTCGAAGCAAAGAACGCCTCAAAATAGGCCGACCCCCAAAATGGAATTTGGTTTCCTCTTGGTTTCCCTTTCAACCAACCTTAAAAGATACCCGGATACCCTCAGAAATGCCAGCAGCCACTCTCAGGATCGCTGGACCCGCCTCGCATCCTTCACAGCGATGAAGTGCTCCTGACAAACAGATGCTGGAAAACTGGAAAACCGGCTGCCCGACCTCCTGCAAAAGAAAAACAACTGGGACTTGGATTTCTGATTGGCATGCCAACACAGCTCGCTGTTGAAGTCCCTCCATTTGCGCTTTCGGCGCTGAAAAAGAATACATGTGTTGTTGTTGCTGTTTAAAACAAAATGTCCAATAGTGAAACCGACTCGCTTTAAAACCAACAAGCTCGCTTCATTTCAGCACATGGAAGAGTCTCTGCAAACCAGGGAGGGGCGCAAGGAATGGATCACCGAAATCGGTCCTTCGTCCAGGTCTTTAGCTTCTCCTCTTTCTTCTTGTCAACCTGCCCACTGCCATCGCGCGCTGAGAGTCGATGCTCGGTTGCCGCGGCAATTCGCATCCGGGTCAACTTGGCGGGCGTGATCCATCCGAGGTGTCGCAAACCTGTCTTGCGTGGTTGCTTGAAAGTGGAAAACAACGAGGAGTATGTCTCGCTGCCTGGGAATTTGAGGAGTCCAGATGACGGCGAGAAGTGCTTGTGCCCTCAAAACCTTAATCCGCCACTGCCCTTCCGGCAGTGAAGAATTCGAGGGTTCGGCCAGGGGCAGATCATGATTCGAGTACGCGGACATTGGACTTCCGGCACAAATACCTGTAACAAGGGGCGCTGTCAGACAGGAGGTTGCGTTTCCAAAAGCACACAACTGCTGGCCTAAGTCACAATATCCAAGCGTAGAAAAGCGCAAGTTCAAAATGATAGACGAGTAGACAACACCCTTTGATCTATTCTTGGGGGATACACAGTTATATCATCAAAAGGTGGGGATAGCCGGAGTCTCCATGACCTTTAAAAATGGGACAATGACCCCATTATTTTGGATAATTCCCCTGTTTTTCAAGGTTTTTTGGGTTAGAACTGTCCCCTTCAACGACCAGGGCTCTGGTCGTTGCCCAGCTGCTGGCCTGCCGCTTCTGACGCTTCACACGGCCCACGCGGCCGGTCGTCTCCTCCTCTTCCTGGTGCCGAGGGGCGCAAAGGAGATGCTAAGTGATCACCTTCCCCCCAAAATTGGCTGTCCTCAAATCCCCCGCTGCAAATTTAACTTGTGGGTCAAATGGAAATCCAACCACTAAACACAAAGCTAAAACCAAAAAAGATGGCTGGGCACCACCAAGCTGAGTGCTTTGGATTGGCTTAGACCGGACCCAACCCCCCCACCGCAATCCAAACCATCCAAAAAAGTGAACCTTCCGAGCCCGACCTGCTCTTCGTCCCAAAGGACCGGCGCTTCCGCGCCTGTCCGAAGCGGGAAAAAAAACACCACCGTCGGCCCCGACGTTTGCGGCGGGGGGTCTACGTTCATCTGCAGTATGTCCCCCTAAGTGGAATTAACCCTTCTACTAGTGGATAAAAACCGCTAGCTTGCTAGCTTGGCCGAACAACTCTATGTGGGTATGCCTTTGTTTAGGGACCCCCCAAAAAAATGGATGGATTCCTGTTGGTGTCTCGTTAAAACCAGCCAAACGGGGGTCCCGAGCCTCAAAAAAGACGAGCCACCTATATTTGTCCCCCGAAGTGGAATTAACCCTTGTATCATTGGTGGATTAACATTTTAACCCAAATGGCCAACCACTTGCTAACTTGGCCGAACCTCCAAGTGAGTCATGATGGAAACCTGGCCCAATGTAAAGAACTACAAAAGCGGATATCCGCACCCAATCTGCACTTGTTGCTGTAATCCCAAAAAGCTGAAGTAAGAATTGGATCCCCAAGCAAAGGACCAGTTAAAGAACCTCTACCATGGTTTTCGCTCGTTATACCCGAGCTCGCTGTAAATTATGCAGTAATGTCGGTGCGGACGTACCCAAAATCGAATCGGTTTTTAGCAAGTGGCTCAAGTTTGGGCTATTCCCACTTGCCAAAAGTCGAAGACTTGTGGTTTAGCGGAGAAACTACCACAATACCGCCCAAAAAACACCAGAAAAACCTCAACAACACACTGTCCGCTTTCACATCCCCTGCTAACAGTCACTCACTTTTATTGGGCTAAATTCGGAAACCCCACCAAACCAACCGAAAAGATCCCAAAAGACCTTAGATCCTAGGAAACCGGATAATTAGCTGGGCTTGCCACCCATGCCCTGCACCCAACCGCGAAACCCCCGACGTCCCCCCGGCCGGCGCCTCCGCAGAGCCGCGCCAAGATGCCCCGGGCCCTGCGCCGCTCCGCCGCAGCGCGCTCCAAGGCCTCCTGGGGCTTGAGGCGAGAAATTTGCGGGGGAAACGAATCCAGCCACTTCTGGTCACAGGTTCCAAAATGTGGGAAAAGCCAGTTGCCAAATTTCCACTGGAGGTTCCAAAAAGCGGAGAAAAAAGAAAGAACATGTTTTCTTGGGGACTTTGGGAGGTTCCAACAATTTTGGGAAAAGCCGAAACATCTCAAAACCGATGTTCATGCCGATCGGCTTTGATTTTGACTCACGTGGAGGTTCGGCCAAGTTCAGGGCTCCATGGATTGCCCCGAGTCCAAAAAGTTAATCAATCCATAACCATCGCCACTTGATGGTTCCAACCATCAAAATTGAGAAACGGGGAGACCAAAGGGAAAACCACCAGTACTTTTTTGGTGGGTAAATCCTCTAGGGGGGGTCCATTGTGCTGGATGCCCCAAAACGGAACAGGTTAACTATGGTATACTTGCAATAAGGGCATCCACCGTAGGTGTTGAAAATTGTGGGTTTCCTTTGTTGGTTTCCTCTTTAACACAAGTTGGCGCCAACCTCGAGGTTTGCCCACCCCCATATGCTGTCTGGCCACCAACACTGTTTTAGGGTTTATGTAAGGTTTATGCTGGCCCCACTCACACATGTCAGGGTTTATGTTGGGCCCACAAACGCTTTTTAGGGTTTATGTGCCCCCCCCCGCACCTGTCAGGGCTTTTGTTGGTTCCCAGACACCTTCTGGGGTTTCTGCTGGGCCCCCCAACACTGTTTTGGGCCTATGCTGACCCCATCAACACTGTTTTTTTCGGGTTTATGTTGGCCTCCAGACACATGTTAGGGTTTTGTGCTGGCCCCACCACCACGTTTTAGGGCTTATGTTGGCCCCACCGACACCTTTTAGGGTGTATGCTAACCCCACAAGCAAGTTTTAGGGTTTATGTTGTCCTTCTCCTTCCAAACACCTTTTGCGGGAGAGGGCGGGGACATTGGGGGGCGGGCAAACCTCAAGGTCCTGACCAACAAGTTTTGAAAGGGTACCCTCAAAAACGTGTATTGGTGCTGTTCAGAAGTTGAGTTGGTCCCAAAAGGAGATGTCATGTCCAAAACAAAGAAGAAATATGGGTGTCTCAAATGAGAGGGATCATTTTGCAGTGGTTCCACTGTATGGTTTAATAGGGATAGTAAGACCCATATAAACCTTTGAAAGGGCTGTTTTAGTACTGTGGATGGACAAAAACCATTTCGCACCACTTTGAAGCCATGGTTGAAGCCATTGTTTGTGGATATGTATGTGAATCAAATCATTGTTGGGATTCTTCGGAGGTGCGAGAGATGGCTTTCGCAGCCATCAAAGTGTGGCTTTTTGATCCCCTCTATCATAAGGGGGAGGGGGTGGGGGGTCCGGGGCTCAATTCCATTTATCTAGTCCCCAGAAAAGGGGAACGGGTTGCAATAAATGGAGACCTCCATTCGCAATCCCGCCTCCCCCAATTCCACATTTGCTTGCTGGTGCTCAGTGGGGATGAGGGAATGAACCGTTTTGGGGTCTCCTTGAAGGAAACCACAAAAGTTGGATGCCCCTTTTTGGGGGTTCACCCCATTTCTCATTCCTTGCATCTCTCGCACCGATCGCAAGTTTAAGCTTCAACATCCCCTCCCCCAATTCCTTATTCAATCGGGCGGGGATAGTCTGATCACAGGGGTTCCGCTGCTTCCCAGTTCCCAGTTTCCACCAAGAACCCTGGAACTGTGGCTTCCCATGGTTTCTTCAGCCGCTGGAAACGGCGCATTTTTTTTTGATGCTGCGCCGCGCCTGCTTCGCCTGGTTGGCCTTCCGCAGCTGGCCCTGCCGGGCCAAGGTCTGGAGCGCCATCCTGGCGACTCGACTCGACGCCTCGACTCGCCCCCCCCCCCCCCCCGCACCCCCGCTGTTGGTTATATACGGTGGTTCAATGGCCATTTGGGTTGGCTCAAAATCAAAAAGAGTCAGGGCAAACCGCAGGTGTTGGTCTGTGTGTCCATCTACCAAGGAACCTATTTTGGGTACCATTTTTGAGCCACAGCCATGTTGAGCAACCCCTATGCATGAGATCTTGTTTGCCCTTTGAATGCCACAAAAATGGGGGGACCTGAAAGGTGCTCTGTGCTGTGTCTCCTAAAGGTCAACAAGGGCTCTGGGAATTTGACACCACCATGACAGGGCTGCGGAAACATACTGTTACATACCCTCTCGCAAATCAAGGAGACATCACCGCTCACAAAAAAAAGGCAATACCAGCAGCGTGGCACTGCAAAGAAACTGCCACATATCAAGGTAGACTGCGGATGAGAATGCTCCACTCAAAGCAGTTCTAACCGATATGATTCGCATCTCTGTAGACATCCTCCCAGGATATTGTGCGATTGGAAGCCCTCCCAAGCAACTTGCAAGTACCTCCCGCTTTCAGGTGGTGATTCCAAACTAGAAGCCAACAGCAAGAACTGTACCAGCAACGCTGCCTGGGTCACACAAAGGCAGACACGCACCTTGACAATACCCCCCGTGGGTCGACTCTGCATCCCCACACCCCGGATAGCTCACCAGGCCTCTCAATGCGCATGATCCCGTAGCTCACAGGCGCCAGGACGCTCCCTGGCGTCCACGCAACACGTGCACAAAAAAGCCACTGACCCCTGTTCTGCGTGGGGCCCAAGTAGATGCCCAGTGAAGAATTCCTCGTAGCTGATGTGGAAGGGCAACCTGCGGCTAATCTGGCTGAGAACAGCCGCTCAAATCTGTCGCCTCCCGGGTCCCTCTGTGTCAAGCCAACACATAGCATAGTTCACCTACAGCAAGGTGTCGGCGTGCCTACGCCGACAAATTCAATCCCGAGCTCTGGCCCAACTCGGAAATTCTCAAGCGATGACAACTCAGCCTCCCCCGCCTGGAGCCTTCACTGCCACGCAAAAGTCCCCGATGTCTGCAAGTCTGCGGCCTCATGGGCTGTCCGTGACTTCTCATCCCTTGCTACAAGCGACCAACCTTTTAGTGGGGGTTTAATTCGGAAATCCTAAGATCTAACAACCTAAGGAACCGGATGGCTGGGAACCACCCAGTAAATTACATGGACCCCGAAATGTTTACACCAAAATAACACGGAGCCTGAGGCTTCGGGAGTCTTGGTTTGGACCATCTTCCTTTTCAAGGGACAGGCACCCCTGTCAGGCTTAATGTGAACAGGGTGGGAAGGTATCTGGAAATTCAAGAATTCCAGCCTGACATAAAAGTTCCCCAAACACCTGTGGTAGCTCCTTGAAACCCCGCGCTCGCCACAAAGAAATCTATCTTTGCGCCCACTGGCCTGCGCTCGTTGAGTGCAAGGGAACCCCCTGTTCAGAGCGAGCCCGTGCTTAAATGCTTTTTCGAAGTTCCAGGGCTGTCTCCGGCCCCAGATCCCCCGCCAAACGTGAGGAACTTGTGAGTTACATTCGGACATCCCACCACTATAGTCACTAAACATCAAACAGCTAGGAAAGTAAGGGGATGGCTGGGAACAACCAACATGGGTTTCTCTCGACTTTGGATTCTCCAACCTCCAAGGATTCCTTCAGATACAGTACCACATCAGAAAGTGCTTTCGAATCCACCCTTCCAATTTGTGTGTGCTTCTTCAGGGCAAGCCCCAAAATAGCTTGGCATTCTTTTTGTTTCCCTTTAAAACCACCCCAAAAAGGTGCCCTCAAAAAAGACGAGGCGCCAATGTTCAGTGCCCCGAGTGACATGTTCAAAACCAAAGGCATCGCGCCGCTCGCGGCTTGCGCCGGCGCCGCTCGCCTGAGTTGGTGAGGCCCGCCGGCCTCAGGTCTCGGAGTCTCGGTCGAAGGGCCGAAGGAAGGGCCCATGAAAGGCACTCCGATCCACATGGCCCATCATGAAAGGCTTCTTTGGAAAAATCCTCCAGGACCCCGAACCTGCTGGTTTTATGGTAACGTGGACACCGGGGGGGGGGGGGGGGAGAATGATCGGTTTTGAGCGGCTACGTATGACTCGTACCAAAGTAGAGTAAAACCACATATGGCCAATACTACGGATGGACAACATCCTTCACCAGTTGTGGATGAAACCCTGGCATAAACCATCCACAGGTGTTTTGGGCGCTCTTGCTGGTTCTCAGGTTCCGAGAATGAGGGAATGTCGGAATGACCCTCATGCGACCAGAGCCACAGTTTCGCACCACGAAATGAAACCAGGGGAAGGAAACCATAACGTTTGTTGGCAGTTGCAGGGGGAATCATCATTCCAGGCTGCTTAGGTGGTGCAAAGTGTTGTCCATCCAGAGTGTTAATAGGGGTGGAGGAAAAGCCAAGGTGGTCTGAATCATGGCGACCCCCTGCAAAGGGGATCCCCTTCCAGTTCATTCCCAATGGCCTTCTTCATGTCCTACTTCATCTGTCAAATCGACACCGCTTGGTGAACAATCTCCGGGCCTCCTTTTCTTAGGGTACGTTTTGCAGGACGAAAGGAGACCCGGAATCCATGTGGGATATGAACCGCTCACGTCTGACTGGGGGCCAGCACTTGGCCAGTCCCAGGATGGCCTCGTGCAGCGCCTGGCCGGCTCGACTTTGGAGTTACCCCGCTTCTTTGGCATTGTCTCAAAAGCTGTGGGGGTACCTACAGTTTTGACACACCCAAGTGTTCTTTGGTCGTGATGTTTGCTTTTGGAAGTTTCAAGTGGTCGTCCAAGTCGGAGCTTTCACATGTTGCTCTGGCTCTCGACCAGATTTGAACAACCATGCCGGATGGATCATAGATTTTCACGCAAAACCCGGGAAATGAATTAAGCAGAATCCAACCAAACCAGCATCCCGGAAGGACATCCATTTAGTTTGGGTGGAAGTCCAACAAGGCAAATGGGCATGTGTCAAAACACAGATTTGAACCGCAAAAAAGGGTGGCTTGCTTTCACTTTAAACCAGCCCCAAAACACATAGGTGACCTTTGGGCAAGAATAGATGGGCTTCCCTGGCAAATGGTTTGTAGAACCGATCTATTTTCGTGGCACCCATCTATGCCCGGCCAACCTGACCCATCAAAAGCGCAGCTCCAAAACCGCCGATCGGCGGACAGAACTCCGATCTCCGAACACCTGAGCCCAGCTCGGCGGCTCGCTTACCAGCCGCTCGCTTGGGCTCAAACACACTCGCTCGGCTTCCCTCGATCGGTCGGTGATTGGTTTGGTGAAGGGTTCCCATTTACCCAGAAGAACCAAACCTTCAAATCCAAGGAACCGACGCTCCGTACCGCTGGCACTTCACGCGGCGACCGGGCCTGTCTGCTGGAGAACTTTGCGGGCTCATGCAGCAAGAGCTCCGGGTCAAGAGTCCTCTGGAGAGAAAAACAGCGCATGTACATGTACGTGTGTATGCATACACCAAACATGGTGTATGTACACATACGTATATATGTTTTTAGGTACTACCATGTATGTACATAAGTATGTATATATATACATACATACATGGCCCCTCACAAAAAGTTGCTGCAACCAGCATTTCTGCCATTTGGCCCCACCACCAAAAACATCCAGTAGCATTTCTGGTTCCAACTTTAGGCAAACGACAAAAACATGTTGATTGAAACACCTTCCTGTGATTGGCTCAGGACAATTGAAGACTGCGCGAGGACCTGGAGCACCTTGATAACTGACTTGGATTTCACATAGCAATGTGGATAGGAATAAATTCCTTTCCCAGGCACGTTGGATGTGCCAAAGTGCACTGAAACATACTACACTCATGCTGAACAGTTGAACTGTTGGAGCTGGAGCTGGCAGCCGCTTACTACCAGTGGGGGGGTTCAAGATTTCAGATACTAGGAAAAATGTCCGATAAAAATCGTGCATGAATTGCCCTACCATGCCTCTGTGTCACAAAAATCAAGCAACTGCCACGCCAAACCGGCTGCCACGGCAGAATCCAGCAACTGCGCCAGCTGCCACGCCAAAGCAAGCCACGCCTGCTGCCACGCCAACGCAAACCAACTGGCACTCCAGCTGCAAACGCTTCAAAGCCCATAGGTGGCCTTTTGGAAAAACAGATGGCCCTGGTAAATGGAACAAAACCAATCTAAACCAGTGGAACCCGTCTATTTCTATGCAAACGCACCGATGAAAAGGACACCTAGGTCAAAGCCAAGCCGCGCTCAGGCCAAGAGTCTTGCCACATCCCAAATTCGCTGGCCGTTTCGCCCACAGGAAGGCGAACTACAACACACCCCTGATGAAACCACAGCGTTGCCGAATGGTTGCGCATATGTGTTGGGGGGACCCCTTTTGGGGGTGAGTTGAAGGGAAACAAAAAGTACAAAAGGAAAACCAAACAAAAAAAGGGAAACCAAACGGAAAAAAATAGACCAAACGGAAAAAAAAAGGACAAAAACCGTTGTTGGGAGTTCCCTTTTGAAAACACTGCCCACACAAAACAAGCCCGCTCCTTGCTCCTGTGCGAGGCATGCGGTCCGTCCAGTCCGCCTGGCAAAATCTCTCCGGCGAAGGTTGGAACCCGCCTTGCGGATGGGCGAAACAAAATGGACCTGGGTGTATGGACACAATCACTAAAAACCCGCGTAACCCCAGCTGTTTAGTTCTGAGCCACAGCCATTTCGCGCACCATGAAATGAAACCAGGGGAAGGAAACCATAACCGCTGTTGGCAGTTCCAGGGGAATCATCATTCCAGGCTTCTTAGGTGGTGCAAAGTTTCGTAGAGTGTTTATAGGGGTGGGGGGAAAAGCCCTCTAAAGGTGGTCTGGATCATGGGGACCCCCCTTGTTAATCACCAGGTAATTGATGAATCCGAGGTCCCACTCTCAGTTTCATGCGAATTCGCCACTGGATTACCACTCGAGGGGAAATCCGGAAACCCCCTTGGCACATGACAAGTTGCGCTGGCGCAGCTGTTGGAAGGAGACCTCCCAACTGGGAGTGTCGCAAAAGCAGGCTTAGTAACTGTGACATCAACAATGGGTTGAGAAAAACTGGGCCCTTTTCGGCATCCCCTTTAGAAGGCGGCGCGTACTGGCGGCACCAAGGTTTGACAACACCCCGAGATGCGCAGAGTGATCATTGAAGTTGAAGGAGCCCGAATGATAAACCGCCTGCTTTCACTTTCAGGAAAAGGCGAGGTTCTGCCAACAGTTCTGCATTTGGGTGGAACTGTCCTCCCTGCCCCACGAGAAGCTTAAGTGTTGCAACAGGTAGCAAAAAGCTGCAATGTCCGGACAGAACTCCTGGTAGCTCCGAAAGGCCCCCCCCTTAAACTCAAAATCGGAATCCGCCAGCTCCGTAACGGCTCCCTTCCAACCACCAGCCAATCCTGAGCACTTAAGAGAGAAGATCCTGGACCAAAGACTTGGTGCGATCAGGGAATGAGAAATGGAATGACCCGAAAGGGAATCCCTGGGTTCATTCCGTCATTCCCTTATCCGCTCCGCCCAGCTTTTTCCTCACAGGACCCCTCGCCTGAATCATGTGTAGGACTTGGCTGTAAACCTCACGAGGAGGGGAACATTCTGCAGGTCACAAAAAGGATGACACCACAACGCTTATTGCTATCCTCCCACCAATAGAAATGACCTGACGTTTGGGGGGGGGTCCTGAAAGACCGTTTTCCTTTTCAAGGGATCGGGTCCCTGTCAGGTTCCACGTTAATTGGCGGGAGGGCATCTATAGGGGAATCATGATTCCTATTATTATAGGTGTCCTAGGTGGTGCGAAATAGATTTTGTCCATCTCATCAGAACCTGGTGTAGCCAAACCAATGAAAATAATTCCGAGATCCGCACCGATTTATGGTTGGGATGGTCCCTTCCCTTCATCTATCCGGGTTTAAGGACGTGGTTCACATTCTGCCTCAGGTCATAGGATTCTCCATAGCCAAAAACCAAAGCCTCGCTTTTGCTGCTTGGGCTGGGATAAAGAAGGATACCCGTATCCCACTGTGTTGCGCGAACAAATGATGATCTGATAGATCATCGTTGATCAAGCCACATAGCCATAAGCATAGGTGACCTGTTGGAGAAAACATGGCCCGGATACATAGAATAAAACCCATCTAAACCAGTGGAACCCATCTATGTCCAACCAACCTAATCTAAAAAGTACGCCTACGCCAAGGAACGATTAGCTTCTCTGGGCAAAAGTATGCAAGACAAACGGCGCACCAACTGTTCGGAAATATTTCGGGCAAAAGATGTCAAAGACAAGTTGTCAAATGGGTCTGTCTCAAAATAGGGCCCCCCAACAATTGGTGCTTTCCCTTTGGTTTCTCGTTCAACTACCCCCAAAAAGGGAACCTCAAACAAAAAAGACACCCCCAAACATGGGCCAGGGCTTGAGCCCTCCCGTTCAAGAGCTCCGAACATGACAGAAAGGAACTTCTTCCTTGCCGGTCGTCTCGCAGAAAAGCTTTGGCTCAACTTGCCCAGGCCACCGTGCCGTGAGGGGCTCCTCATCCTGCACGCTCAAACACAAAGTGTATCTCACTTCCAATCGAGTGGATGGGCCAAAAAAAACAGCCAATTCTTGGTTTACCACTTGGAGCCAAAAAAGGGTCCAAAAAGTCCGGTTGTGTCTTCCCAAAGTCTGACGTGCATGTCTTCCCAAAAAGTGGCTCAAGTTCAACCCCGGAGGTGAGGTGTGGTGTGCCCAGGTGAAACGCCAATTCGACAGGGGATCCACTTTTGGCGCCCCGTTTCTGGACGCGCACCGCTTCATACCGTTTCGATCTGGTCACGAGTAGAGACGTGCCACGTAAATTTCTCCAGAGACCGATGTCTCTCAACCTGGGGGGGTCTGGGGTTCCAAGCTGAGTTTTATCCTGGCTTGGCCAATCCGATTTTTCATATTGCCAAGTCCTTGCGTGGATTCCCTTGTGGTCCAAAATGGTGGGAAATGATCACCTTACCCCAAATTGGTGGCTTGGTTTAGTGGTTTGGGGACCTTGCCCAGCTGGCTTCAAAAGGAAGCGGGCTTCAAATCCAAATCCAAACCCCTATTCAAACCACCAATTGAGGGATAGCTGAATTGGAAAACCCCGCTTAACCACCAAACTACCAATCCAGACCACCAAACTACCAATCCAGACCACCTAAGGGCATAGGTGGCCTTTTGGAAAAATAGATGGCCCTGGTAAATGGAATAAACCCCATCTAAACCCGTGCCATCCATGTTTAACCAAACTAACCTAAAAAGGACACCTATGCCTAAGGAGTGCCTGACGAGGACCCAAAATGCTCACCTCCCTCTGCCCCGTCCTGCGCTGCCTTTGGGTCTGCCAGCGCCTTCCTTAGCCAGAGGCTCGGCTCAAACGTGCTTGTTCAAGTGACATGGCTCGTCTTTCTTGAGGGCTACCCCCTTTTTTCAGGAAAACCCGAAGGAAAAACCGAAATCCCACGGGGTCCCAAAAAAAAAACACCCTGCAACGTGGTTTTACGTAAGGTCCATCCTGGGATTTCTTCCACCCTCGACGTGGGATTGAACTCTCTCTACCATCATTCTGGAGGGCAAAAAAGATTCAGATGGTACACGCTGACTCATCTGGGTACGTGTCAAAGGGGGCCAAAAGCAAAAGTTGCGCTCCTTCGCCTTTCGGGCTAAAGGTCCGAAGACGAGGTTCTGTACCACCTCATCTGACGCGAAGATCCTGGCGGAAAAGTAGGCTGAACATGTGGCTCTGTCTGCATTTGGCTCCAGATGAACGAAACCGGTTTGACCCATAACACCCTAGCCCCATTCCCTAAAGAACCCTAACAAAACCTAGCGCTCTCAAACAAGTGCACCCCTTAGGGATTCCGATTGAAAAACAAAACAAAAAACACCCGCCTCACAAACTCTTCAAAGGATGCCCGGTGCGTGTAGTGGTACAGCACCCTCCTGGCAGCTGCCGATATACTGAGGCAACCAAAAACTGTTATCCCACGAAGTCGACCCCCAGTTTGTGGTGAACACAAAAGAAATGCGCGGGCAAAAAGGGTCCTTGATTCTGAGCCGAAAAACAAATCCAAGAGTAGTGAGTTGCACAATTGTAGCCTAAACCAATCCGTGGCCTAAGCATTGCAAACTATCCAGTGGCCAACTGCCCTAAGTTGGCTGTTAGGGCCTCACTGGATCCAGAGAGATCCTTCGCCACATGCTGCGGTCTCCCAAAGCGAGCGCTGCCGAACCAATGCTCAGACCCTTTTGTCCGAGCGCGGGCTTGTTAAACGATGAACTGTTCCTCAATCTTCCACGGCGCCGGCTCGACGTTTGATCCCAGCCAACTGCAACTGCCAGATGCCCAGATTGAGCTGTTAGTGACATTGCACACCAAACTTGTCTCACTTGCGCCCTTCTCTAAACAAACCAAAATCAAACAAAAGCCCATCTAGAATCTGGACATCTGCCAGGCATGGAGGCTGGCTAATTGGGTGACCCACTCGAAGGGGTTCCAACAAATGGGTTCCTTTAGGATGCTACGCACGACTGTGCTGTCGATTGAAGCCGGGTCCCCGAGCTATGTGAGCCCAGGAATCCCATCTTGGGATTCCTGACGCGCTGCGCGATATCTCTGGCACGTGGCTCGGACTTGGCCATGCGCCATGCGCTGGATGTGTGATCCGAGGTCCTTTTGAGGCTGCCCTGTTTGCAGTGCAAAAACCGATTCCCCCCAAGTCGGGGCCCACCGCGGCAGTCGCGTCTTCGCACCTCACGCAGCCACCGGCTCCTTTGCCCACGGCTCGGCTTCCGATTCCGGAGCCGGCGAAGCCACGGCCAAGGACGGCACAGTCCCAAGATTCGCCGTGGTGGGGTCCCTCTTCAGCACACCTCAGATTCTCTGCAGGTGGCTTGGAGCAGCGGTGGTTTGGTGGTCAAGTAGGGAATTCCCATTTCTATAACTACAAAAGCCAGGGGCTTTCAAACCGCCAGTCCAAAACCAGCCATTGGGAAAAAAAATGAATGCGGACCCCAAAATGCTAAAAAAATATGGCACCCTCATGGCCGAGAGCTGAAGGAAGTCTTTTGGTCTCCACTTCTCCTCTCTTGAAGATACAGGAGCCAAAGCAAGCGAAAGCAAGGCGACGGTGGCCAAGAGCTCGAGACAGAGACATTCAGTGAACTCCAAGGAAGAAACCCTCGGCAAGAAGCTAGACAGCGACACTCGACACCCAAGATTTATGGAATCCCTATGGTAGTTGAGAGCGTGTTTGATGTTTCCTCGGCTTCCTTGGGGGAGCCTTGGGAGCACACCCCTGGGATTCCTGAAAAGATGGGCTCAGATCCCCCGCTAGTGACCAACGTTGAGTGGCTTAAATTCGGACATCCAACCACTAACAAACTAAGACAAACTAAAAGACTAAGTTGAACCGGATGGTTGCCAATCACCAAGAAAGCTGGAATGCAAATCTCACTCCAAATCCGTTCGCAAAACTTGGCCATCTTCAGAAGCATGGCCCTTTCTTTGGCGCTCGATCTCTCTCTGAGCCCAAGCCAATGCTTTGCCAGAAGCTGCTGGCAGCCACAAACAAACAAAAAAAGGGATCCCCTGAAAGAGCGGCCCCAAAACCCAAGAAGATGTGTATCAGGATGTATCAGGCTTGGCAGTGGTGCTGCCTCGCCCATTCCTCTGCAGTTCCTGTCGTTTAAGGTGTCACGGTGCAAACTCGCCCCTCAGAACAGGCCCATATCCTCGTGTTCTGTTCATGCACCTAGGTGAATAATAGCAATAACAGTGTTCTGATCATCATACTGTTTCTCAAACCTCGGTCTTGAAATCCTGGTCTTTGCTTCGCAAACAGAATCGGATTCCTTTGCTTAAAGCTTAGTCACCACCCTGTCACCAAAAACAACAACTTTTTTGCGCCATGGGGGGTTGATCCATATTCCTGACCCCAAATGACCATGAGGCCATGTTCGTGGTTTTACCCAATGGGCATCCAACGTGTATCGGACCTGTTGATCGACCCCCATGTGTTTGTTCCACCCCGAAGCCGCCTTTGGCCAGCATGATGTTGGCAGTCCGGCTCTGCACGAAGCCGGCGACGTCGGCAGACTTCATGTAGCAGGAATGGCTCGGAAGCGCCTGCAGCCTCGTCTCGCAGTCTCAAATTACTTTCCGGGGTCTTCCTAGGTGACCGTTTGGCAAAATAGGTGGGCTTCCATGGCAAATGGTTCATAAAACCCATCTAAAACAGTGGAACCCACTTTTGCCTAACCAAACCAACCCGTCAAAAGCACACACCTCCAAAACTGCCATGTCCTTTCAAAACTCCGATCGGCGGCTCTGAAAGGCTCCCCTCTTCAAACCCGAATTTGGATAGAAGACCAGCTCCAAAATGGCTACCTTCCAACCGACGCCTTCAAACCATCTAGAGGCTCGGTAGTTAAAACACCCGCGGCAGACCGCCCTTTGGCCAATATTTCCATTTGCTTTATGCTTGTTCTCAAAAGTGACTTGCCGTTTTGTGTTGGGGGGGTGGGGTCTGTGGCACGTGGGCCCAAGCTTAGAGAGTGGAGAAGCTGTCCTACGGGCTACTGGGAGCCGCATGTGACCCTTTCACCAATCGACTGGCTCCAATCGAATCTCCTGCATCGACCAGAAGTGGAGGCTTCAAAGTTTCAGGCCTCGCCGCCTCGCCTTGCTTTGCTTTTTAAGGCGCCCCAAAACAAGGACTCAGGATTCCGTCACGGAGAACGAACTCTAAGGCTGCGGTCTTGATGCCCCGCCTAAACTCCACGTGCCAAAGAAGGACCCAGAATTGGTGGAATCTGTTGCATGGTGGTTCAGGGGAGGCTTCCCATTTGCCCTCAAGCGGCTCGAATCTCGAAGATCCAAACCGCCAACTTCTGCGGCTGGAGGAAATCCCATCTCTCGTGCCACCATGCAGAAACCCTTCGCTGCGGATTCGATTCCCCAACATAAATATGGTAGCAGAACGTTGTGGTTTCGAATGGCTTCATCACAGATGCTTCTTGGATTTGCAATCCAGTAGAAAGCTTAGAATCAAGGCCACCAACTTTTTCTGTAGTCTAGGGAACCGTCCCAACCAAAAAAGAAACAGTAAGCAGGGCACCCAGCTGGGGGACCTAGCGTTGCTTGAAGGGGAAATGGAGCCTTTGAACCTGGCCCAGTCACAGCTCCCCTGCCACCCCTGCCGCATTCAGGAAGGTGAGATCTTCCTGGCCGGAAGAAGCTGTTCCGCTGGGGTGGAAAAAAACGCAGCAATCCAAACCACAAGAATTCAAGGGCTACCAAAATCATACTGCGTCTTCTCGTGGTGTTTCTGGCAAAAGGGAGGTACCCCTTGCTTGTTACATGCTCAAGAGTCATCGCATGAGCGCGGCTGACGTCGATGCATGGCCCCTGCTGAACACCCCACGTTTTCGTTTTGTAAAGGGGGGCTGTCGTCAACTGCCATCGGAGCCTGCTTAACTCAAGCAGCCACTTTTCGGGCGACTCCTCACGACGAACCCCGGAATCCTCCGATTTCCCCCGCAAATAATTACCAACATACCATGCTGTCAACCACGGTCTGCACCGCATCCGGCACATCTTTCCGCCCAAGTCGCCCGAAAAGGGGACCTCCCCTTTTCTGGCCGCCCCCCGGCCCGCTGCCCAACCTGCAGCACCCAGTCCACGCGCTCCCCGGCGTTCAGCTTCAGGGCCCGGCAGATCTCCAGAAGCTCCGACTGCTTCTTCTCCTACGTCTGTGGAATCGAACGCCCATGAGTGGCCTCCTTTGAAACCACCGGATCTGAAATGGGTCTGGATATGCATCATCCAGGTTGGCTTCCCTTTAGAAACCCCTTCAAACAAACCCAAGACCTTCAAAGCCGAAGAATCCGGGTTGCCCCTGTTCGTATCCGGCGGCACAAGACAAGGCGGCACAAGGACCACGGGCCAAATGTTTGACAACTCATGCTACCGACTTCTCCTTGGACGTGCCATCCCGGGTTCCATGTGTTGATTGCCAAGGTAGATTTAAGCCCCAGGTCTGGGGAAATCCACCGCTCGGTTTCAGTCTACCTTGGAACACTCAATACATTGGAACCCTGTGCAATCGACCATCACCCGATTGCGTGTTTCTGATGAATAAGGCTCATGACTGGGATACACCACCTACAAACTGGTGCAGGATTTGTTGTCCATCTACAGCATCACCATGTAGACACAGCTGTGTCGCAAAGGGAAACCAAATGGGAATGTATGCACTGGAAACCAGCTGGCAATCGCCCTTTGTGGGGGGGTCCCAAGTTGGAGACAATGGTCCAAACACAACCATGGCTCCTTTTCACCTTGGCAAGGGAAACCAAAAGGAAGACAACCACGGGAGGTTGAACCCCAGACGGACTGAGAAATTGGTTGACTTTACCAGCTCTTCAGATTTGTTGCCTGCGTCGGAAAAGCTCCAACTAACTTAGACCAGCTAGAAATTCAAGGCGATTCCCAACGGTAGCTGTTGTTTATTCTGGGAAAACCAGACTAGATGTATTGATAGGGGTTGCGGGGAGTGCTGTCAGAGAATCTGTGGGCCTGGCTTGGCATTGGGAAAGATGGCGAAACAATGCTCACACCATCCACGTACTCAGGATCAACCCTGCAAAAGGTCGCCTTCCGCGACTCTCGCCTTACGCTTCTAATTTGATGGCCACAACTTCCTTTGAGTACGGGGAAGTACCTTTCATTCCCAACTGGGTTAAACATTCTGCAACATCTTTCACACTGAAACCCACCAGGCTGTGCCCTTTTTGTCAGGAATTGAGCATTCTGCCAGGCCCAAGTCCAACCAGTCCATTTCTCCATTTTTCTCCAAGTTCCGTTTCCCCCCGGTCCCGCAATCGAGCGACTTCGAGCTCGCGCACAAGCGCTCGAACGAACTCGCGCCCCAGCCTCGCCGCTGGCCCAGTTCATCAGCTGCTGCACCCCGTGGTGCGCCTTCATCCCACCCCAGGCGCCTCGCGCGTCCGCGAGTCCCCGCGTGTCCGGCGCAGGGCTGAAATGGCGAGAGGAAGCCCAGAGGGTGGGTGGCTGTGGTTTTATGTTGATGTCCCTGAAAAAAACTTGTAAAAGGGTGGGGGGGGGGGTACAACAATAACAGAGGCAAACAGACAAACAAACCCATGTTGGGCTGAAATAGGCCCTTCGCCGCCAAAGGGGGCGCGCTCAAAGCGCGCCTGGCTTCACCCGCTTCACCCTTCCAAAGGCAGAGAGGCGCCCATGGGCGAGCTTTGAGCCTCCAGGTCTCCAGGCCTTTCGCGCCACCTGCCACCTGCCACCTGCCACCTGCCTGGCTCAGGCGGACTAAACACCTGATCATAGGCGTCAATTCGGTAAAGATGGGCTTCCCTGGCAAATGGATGGCACACCAATCTAAACCTGCGGAACCCATCTATTTCTACGCAATCTGACCTAAGGACACCTATGCAGCTGATATCCAAGGAAGGACACTGTTTTACGCCAGCCCTTTGGCACAGCTTCCCCTTTCAGCCTGCTAAAATAGATAGATCTCCACTCGTTCCTTGCCAAAACAACATATGGCGCAAAACCCAACTCCTCCGGACATACAGCATAAACGAACTTAGGGGAAAAAGGGCATGTATCATCATAGCGACATCCCCCCACAAAAACTAAAAGTAAAAAAAAAATGGCTTCCAGTTGGCTTCCCTGCAAACCAATCCCCGATCAAATCCCCCCCCCAGACCTGGTAAATGGATTCATGGACCAAGACCTGCGGCTTTTTCTGGTGGATTCATTTTGACCACCCACCCCCACACCCCCACCCACCCACCCACACCCACCCCCCCACACCCCACCCACCCCCACACCCCCACCCACCCCCCCACCCCCCCCACCGCCCCACACCCCCCCCCACCCCCCCACCCAGTTAGTTCCCCCCCGGGCGCCTTCCACCGGCACTTTGGCAGGGTCCAGCTTGTCCAGCTGCTCCGCGATGAGCGGCTCGATCCCTCAGCTCCCGGAAAAAACGCAAAACGCCGGACGAGAGCTGAGAGCCCCACAGAGAGATGCGGATCAAAGATGGGTGGTGCACCTACCCCCAAAAAATGGGCTCCCAGTGGTTTTGACCCAGTTGGCCGTGGGTGAAAAATGGGGTAACCCCAAAATGGCTTGCCCTGGGAAATGGAAACCAGGACTCAACCTGCGGCTTCTGGTGGTTTAATTCTGACTCATACCCAGAGCTTCGAAAGCGGTGGACAGAAACAGGGGGCTGGCTCACTTCCCTTCCGATCGAGTGGATTGGCAGCAAAAAGCAGAAGGAAGCAAAACCACCAGCTTCCCTACTAAGACGCATAGCCAGGCGGGCTTAGCCAAGGCAACAAGGCGAAACTTTGCATGCGCTTGAGATGTCAAGCCCAAAACCGGTGGCCCCGTTTGATGCCCAACAGCAGGCCCAGGGAACCCAAAATTGGTTTCCCCACTCAAGGAAACCAAAGGAGAAACCAAGCCCAAGCCGGAAACCTGCCGCGCGGCGATAGGCCACTGGGTCCAGGGGATGGAAGATGTTGTAAAAGCGCGTGCCCGGCAGCTCGAAGTCGGGCGATGGGAGGGCATCCGCGCAGTGCATGAATAAGCCCGTGGGTGAGCCCATGGTGAACCTCAGCGGCCAAGTGGGGTCAAGAACCTGGTCTCAACATAGCTGGCTGGTTTGAAAAATCATCCAAAACGGGCACCGTGAACAAGAATGCCCACGTCCACACAGTTGGCTCCATGTTGAGGCACGCGTTGAATATTTACCAACAAAGGCTTTGCTTCTACGCTTGGCACCCGCCCAATTAGAGCTGGACTGATGGGCAGTTCAGCTGGAACGCTTTGCTAACACAATGGGGGCATAAGAAACTTAACAAGTCCCCTGGCGCTTTTTTCGCGCAAGGTCACCAAGTCCGCAAAACCAGCACAAAAGCCAAGGCTTGCATCCCCAACAGCAACCCCGGACCCTTCCGGAACTTCTTAAAAACAGAGCCCTGCATGAATCTTGCGCACCTCTCCGGAACCCGAACCAGCCAGTCACAACTCCACGCAATTCCTGCAGTTTGTTGCCATCTCCCACGTTTGAAGTACGCAGACGCCACCGCCCGTGTCGACACCGAACCGCCCACTGCGGGCATGCAATTTGACAGGCCTCACGCTTGTCAGCTGACCCTCCCTTGACACAAACAGCCGAGGCAATGAGCGGGCTTGAGGCAGAGGCTTCGGCGCATTAATGTGCGAAAAACCCGATCCGCACCGCACCTGTCTATGGGTGCTACTATCCCTAACCTTCACTTACCTGAATCGAGTATGATTGTGGCCGCGCCATAAGCCCAAAAAGGCCGCTGAGACCCAACAATTCCCACATCCAGCTTGAGACGGACCCTCCCTCCCGTGTCCTCACAGAACTGAAAGCTCCGAGAGGTGTCCTCTTCAAACGCAAATTTGGATACCTCCTTGGAACTCCCTTCCTTCCGACCACTCCTTGGCACCACCTCCTCCCTAATGTTGACCCCAAATTCATCAACCCCAGTTTATGAATATGGGGGGGTTCACTCCACTAAACCCAGGGACAACTACTCTTGGAGCCACCTCCTTGGAACGGCTCTCCTTACGGCTCCCTTCCACTCCCATCCGTCCGGGATCCGAGGCGCAGGGCCTGTGGGGTGAAGCTGAGCTGCGCGCTTCCGCTCCGCAGCAGCTCGAAGAGGATGGCGCCCCCCAAGGAGTGGCCCGCCAGCACCACGGCGCCCTCGTGCTGCGGGTGGTGGGCACGGAAACGCTGCAGCGCCGTCTCCACCGACCTGCAAGGAGGTCGATGTGTCGGGAACCCTGTTTCCCTGAGAAAAAACAACAAAAAAGACTCCCCGAACAAAGGGTACCTGCCAAAACTCAAACAGACAAACATACAAATATTCTATTACATATACGCGCACGTGATGTTTCTCTTCATGAGAGGCGGGTTGAGGTGTTCAGGGCCCTGAAACGCCCCCCAGGCGCGTCCCCAACCTCGCCACGGCTGCAATGATCTTCTCCTTTCGGCCCACCTGAGCGCGTTCTACCCTACTGACGTTGTGGGGGTCTACCCGACATACGTATATCTTTCATACTAGTTAAAAGAAAAAATATGTGGTCTCTTCTTTATAATTTATAGTCATATCTATATCCCTTCATTCCTCTCACCTTGCATCTGGGATTCTTCATAGGAACGCCCTGGCCTAAAAACCCTGAGAATTGGGTGAGAGGAGCTTCTCTTTAATATAACTACTTCCAAGCTACTTGTGAAGGTTTACATGGGTACTACATCGGGAGTCCTGCCCCATGTCAGGGGTCCCTCAATTCCCACCTTGTTGAAACCTCCAACAGTGGCGGCAAATGATCAACGTTTTTAACGGGGACATCCATTCACCCCACACCTGCAGGTAGTACAAGGCGTCCACCACCGCGAAGTTGGCAATCTGCCGCACCTCGCTGACGGCGGAACGCCCAGAGGCGAGCCGACTGGGAGAAAAAGGGCCAGGCACCGGTTCAAGGGAATTGCCCTCCCCGCCCCCCCCCCCGGGTGATAATTTTAACAGCCCACCGTGCCACCCTTGAGCTGCTTTTCGGCTTGTGTTGGGACTGGGGAAAAAATGGGGCCCAAGCGAAAGATGGGGCTGTTCTCAGATCCCATGCAAAAGTCGAACACCTTTGGTGGGTTTAAATGGAAACCCCCACTGAACCAACTAAAAACCAGCAAGCGCCTCAGGAACCGGATGGCTGGGCTTGCCCCCAACCGAAAAATCCGACTGAAACTCGCTGCTCGCTCTCTGGATTCCACCCAACAAGCAACAAGCAGCGCCTGTTTGATAGGGTCGACCAGAGGCATGAATGAACAAATGATGTGTCAACCAGACCCAACCAAACCAAACCAAACCAAACCAAACCAACCAACCATCCCACCAACCAGGCAACTTTGAAGGAACAAGTTTTTTCCAATCAAGTGCGTGTTCAAAGGTATCTTCCCTTCTCGTGAGGAAAGAAAAAAAAAAAAAAAAACGGCCCCGCCCTCACCCCTGTTCCCCCCTCCCCGTAGCCGCCTGCTTCATGGAGGGCAAGGTGATCCGGGCCAGGCGGGTGTCCATCTCGTCCGTGTGCACCGACTCCCACCAGGAGGCTTCCAGGACCTCGTCCTCGGCACCAAACGCTGACCCACATCGGAGCCACCGGAGGGGTTTTTTTTCCGCAAGCATAGCACCTGGAGGGTATCAAACAGCACCAAACGCCGGAAGTCGGAACCACCTGATAGTCTCCACACTCACTAACATGGCACCTGGAGGGTACCTGGAAGATCAGTTTCCTCTTGGAGGGACCCCCTCAGGTGCCACGTTAGTGGGAGAGAGGGTATTCCTTTGGTTTCCTTGAAGGGGGAAACCAAAACTTGGGTGCCCTGCGGTTTCCAAACACATGGTTTTTCCCCGGTGTCAAAGTTTGGCATTCTCCGCAATACTGGGCTTGACATGGGGAATCGCCTCCGAAGCTTTTTCCAGAGCCATTCCCGGTTCAGCTTCACCCTGTTTCCTTGTTGTGTGGCTTCCGCACTAAACCTGGTCAACCCAAAAAGAAATGCTTTGAGAAGCTCGGGGGTGCCTAGCGAGCCTTTCTTGCGGGCCTCATGGCTTCCTCCCTCCACCCCAAACCAAGCCCAAGATTTCAAGTTTCAATCCAAACGATTTCTGTACAGTCTATGTGTCTATGTCAATGCTCACATTTATTGAAGCTGATTACGTGAATATATCTTATGTATAGTTTGTAGCAACACATTTCAGAAGATAATCATAACTACCCTCCCAACCAATTAACATGGAACCTGACGGGGGGGTGCCCTGGTTTGGATAATTTTCCTTTTAAAGCGACCGCGTCCCGCACAGGTTCCATGTGAAAAGAAAGACATCTGTTGAAACTTATTCCTCGACTTCTGTGATACCAGGAAATCCCCTCTTTCTCTGGAGGGCTAGTCTTTGGGATGGTGTCCACCGGGCCAGCCTCAGACCCAGAAAATCGGACCTAGCATTCCCCCCATTGCGAGTGCTTGGACAATTTCGCCAAATCATCACACCTGGTGCGAGAAATCCAGGGTAATTACCGTCTGGGATCCATAGGAGGTTGTAGAAAAAAAGCCTGAACGAGTACTAACACAGCACCAACAGGGAGCAGCTTCAGGAGATACCCTCCCAAAAACATATGTTAGGCTAGGTTTTTTTCTGGTCCATATCAGCAACCCGCAACTAAGCTGAGCACGAAGATCCGGTGACATGCCGTGGCAACCATCAGGACAGAAGCGTGAAACCTACATGAAGGATTCCTAAAGGCTGCGTAGTGCCGAGCTTCCTAGATGTATCCTTTCTTGCCTCCGCAACATCACACCAACACTCCTGCTTGAAAAGAATGTACTTCTGCAAGCCCCATGAGAAGCAAATGTTCCCCAAAGTCGATACAAATCACATTCAGAGCTGAGGAATCGAGTGGTTGATCCATGCTCTGGGGACCCTTCCAGGGCGCGCGAAAACGCGCGCGCGAAAGCGCGGTCCTCTTCATGTTCCCCCCTGAAGCCTTCAATCACACCCCAAAATGCAAAGCTGCGTGGCGCAGACAGAAGACACTTGCCGCTAAGAACATCCTCCGGCTTCCATCAAGACCCACAGAGAGGCTGAGATTCCAATTCACAGATCCTAAATCCGCCAAAACCCAGCAGCTTGGGCTACCAACGTGATGTTTAAAAACCCAACCAAAAACCGTCCACACAATGACCGCAACCAGGTGTGAAAAAAGCTTCCGCTTTCGGGGAGATTGACTCGAAAGCCGGAAGCTCGCGGATAAAAATCGATCCCCATCCGAGCTTAAGGCAGACCGATAGAGAACCGGTCATTGAGTTCATCAGATTTGTTTCCACACATTCCAAACCCCACCTTTAAAACCCTTCGTATGGCCTTGCAAAAAACGTTGTTTCTTGAAGCCCCCTTACTGAACATGAACAGAACCCAAAGACCGCAAAAAACCTTCCCACCAGCAGTGAAGCCACCTCACATGTTGGCCGCCTCAACAAACAGAAAAAGAGAGAAAACAGTCCGCCACCGAGGCTCGAAAGAACGAGAAACAAGGATCCGGCGACCCTGACCGCCAGCAGAGTCCGGACTCCATCCTTCGATTCTTCCCCACCCTACACTTTAGATTTTGTCATTTCAAGAAGCACATACTTTGAAGCTCCAACAAAACTAGAAGAAACCACATCCAACGGATTTTTTAAAAGCCGCCCGCCTTCTTCAGCTTCGGAGGCGTCTCCCCGGGGTAGGTCCAGTGCCCCCCCTTCTGCACGAAGCCCGCCGTCTCCAGCTGCCGCACCTGCACCATGCGCCGGAAGCTGCCCGTGGAGGCCGCCAGGCCGCAGCCTCCGCGGAGAAAGGGTCGGAAAGAAAAGAAGAAACGGCGGCGTGCCTTGGCTAGGCCCTCCAGTGCAGAGGTTGGAATACGGCTACCAACTTTTTTATGTAGTCTATTTTAGTAGGGGAAAAAGGGCACTACTGGCAGACCTAGTTGGTATTGTTTTGTTGTGTGTCTGCCTGTTTTGTTTGATATTTGTGTGTGTGTGTGTGTGTTTGATGTTGTTTGATCTTGGTTTGATATTGTGTTTCTTGCTTACTTGCTTCACTTGCTTGCTTAACTTGCTTGATGGTTTTTTAGGTTCGTATAGGTGTTGTTTCTGCCAACAGGGGTTACAGACAAAACTTGATGGGTTGTTTCAAAGGACAGCCCAAGGAAACGGCATTGGGGGTCTGCTACTTTAAGTCACACCCAGTTGTTCATCAAGGGGTTGGGATGCCCCAACATTGGTTGAAACAACTGACCTGGCTGAAAAATCGGATTCCAGATTGGTGGACGCTTTGAGAAACAGTCAAGACAGGAACACGACAAACGACCAAACAGCAACAACAGGAACAATAACTACCAATATCTCCGCTGTCATGCTGGAGATTCAAACAGCAGCACGCCATAGTCCGCTTCAAGCCGTCCAACATTCCACCTTTTCGCTTTTCGCTACCGCCAGTGAGATTTGCTGGGAGCAAGGAAGCCCTCGTGGATATGTTACTAGGTCCTCCAGTAGAGAGGTTAGAATAAGGGTACCCTTTTTGCTGTAGTCTATTTAGTAGGGGAACCCTCCCCCAAAAAAGGGTAAAAGGGCACTACTGGGGCACCTAGGTTATTTACCAAACCAAAGTTCGACCCTCAAGGGACAGTCCTGCGGCCAGGATGGTGCTTCAACGGTACCAGCTTCAACCAAAAACAAAGGGTTGCTTGACATGCAGCCAAAATGCATATACCAGAGGTGTGAAGATTTGTGCAGAGATAAATGTGCGGTCACCTTTTTTCCCAGGTGGGTCAGAGAAAGGGCCCGTCATAGTGTCACAGAAAGTGCAAGCAAACAACTTGTCTGAGAGCGAGAGAGAGCGAGAGAGAGAGAGAGAGAGAGAGAGAGAGAGCACATGGGCAATGATGGGTTCTTCTCTAAGCTTGGCCACGAGGGCAGCTCCGCCTTTTGAGCGAACTGTGGCGTTGTTTTCCGCTTGCAGAAGTGAGGCGACCCATGGCACGTTGGAGGGAGGCAGGCGTTGGCCTCTTTCTTGACCAACCAACTTGGCCAATCCTACTAGGAGTGTCCTCTGGCCATGAATTTTGACGCGGAACCGTCTGAAAAAGTGGTTGGTGGGGATAAATCCCCACCTAAATGATGTCCACCAAAGGGCCTAGTTTTAGATTCATACCCACATGGGTTTGACCAAGTTGGATGCATTGCCTGCAGTTTATCAGAACCCAAGCTGAGTGAAGCGGTATCAACTGCCTCGCCTTCCTCGCTCCACATCTTCTCGCCAATGCCATGAACAAGTATTATGACGTTGCCGATGTCTTTACCCAACTTCTCCTCCTTCGGGCGACAAGCAATGCAAGAAATGCAAGAGGATACAGCGTGTGCTTGGGTGGTTGTGTGTTGCTGCGCGTTTGTGGGTTTGTGTCCTAGGGTCACGTTAGACACCCCGTCAAAGAGTGCCTCCTTACTTAACACTAGCCCCCTGCGCAAAAGCCATGGAAATCTCAGCGGATGCTAGGAACAGCTGGGCGACCCCCCCAACTCATTGGAAAGAATCTCATCGGTGACATTTTTCTGGAAGGTTAGCTCCTGAGGCAGGCACGCTGCTGTTGCAAGCCTGGGGGTCTGGAGTTGCTGTCCCTCGTGCCTGCACAGCAAACCAACATTTTGGCAGGTGCCAAAAGGCAACACACAAATCCCACTTTCCCATCCACCCGCCAACCCCCAACCCCCACCACCACCCCAACCACCCCACCCAGGCGCTATCCCCAACAGCCGAAAACCCCTGGAACCCGCCGGAGCCCTCCCTGAAAGCTGCCCCAAACCAACCAACCAAAAAATAAGCTCAAGTGGTATCCCCAACAGCCAGGCGCTCAAGGTCTCGGAATTTTCTGCTCGTTGCTCGGCATCTCAGACTTCAGTTCGTCACCTTGCACAGCAGCATCAATGACAACATGAATGGGTTCCTTGCGACCAGTCACGCCAGAAAAAAAACTAGGTGAGTTGCTATATTTCCTTGGTCGTTAGGTCGAATTCTCTATTTCAAAGGCAGCGCAAGCTCCCTGCAGCGTACTCTTCTTGAGGCATTTGGTTCTCAAACTGAAGTCGTCCATAATGAAGAATGCCAAGCCCAATGGACATGTCGTTTGCGCGAGGAGATCGTGTGTCAGCGAAATTGTCCAGTGAAAAAGGGCACGCAAGGATGAAAAAGAAGGTTCATCGCAAGCCCGACGTGCCGTTGTCTTGTCCTGTGCCCTTCAGTTCCTGGTACATTGGCTGTTGCAAACAGCAAGGCTTTCAAGCAAGACCGAGCAGAAGCAGAAGTCTTGTCGGATGTTAAGGCATCCTTGGCTGTAGCATGTTTATTAATAGTAGACACGAAATCATCAACACTTGCTTTTGCGATGTTGGCAATGTCGCTGCGGAAACCAGCTCTGTGCAGGCATAGGCGCGCTCCTGTAATGACGCCCAAGCGCCGGCGACCGTCGTGCACGCATGCTAACATGTCTGGTCTAACGAACCGGTTTGGCGACAATGCTGTACATGCGCATCCTCATGCAGGTGATATTCTAGTTATGCCCTTTCTTGCAAGCAGCTTGCCCAATCTTCAAACAACAACGGGGTCTGTCTTGCTAAACGTGGTGTTCCGTCCCAAAAGAACTCCGTGAAAGCAGCTGTCCACGTGGCTGGTGAGAACATATTGGGCGGCTGCCCTGTCGGCACACGCAAGGCTTGAGAGCTTGCCTGGGCTGGGTTATCCAATCTCGCAGCAACGCCTTCCAGTTTTTGTTGCACTTCTTCAATGAATTGCTTTGCAGCTGCGCGCGCAGCTGCAGCACACTCTCTGCAACTTGACGCCCGCCCACGTCTGGAACTCTGATGGAAGAACCATCCTAGCATCTCAAGCGTGTTTTTTTCGCTTTTGCAAATGTGTTTTGCATTACCTCAACTTTCTTGCGAAACACTGCGAAGCAGGACAACGGGTCATCATTGCGTTGGTTATCACTTGCCACCATTTGCTCAGGCATCAAAGCTTCCACGCCCCGTTCCTCGTCAGATTTCTCTGACTCTGCTTCACTTTCTGCTCTAGCATTTGCAGTATCCTCACCTTGCACACTTGGTATAGACGCAGGCCAATGGAATTGCGTGGCTAAGGCACCGCAGTCCTGGAGCTCACAGCAACAGCTTTCAAAAACAGCCGGAGTTCCTTGTTGGGGTATCTCGTTTTTAATTCTTTGAGTGTCCACTTCTACATCTTCAAAAGCAGCACACGCGCGCTTTCTATTCAGCGCGCACTTGTGGCACAACTCACGGTTGCATTCTGCCCACTTTGCTGTCTTCAAGCTTCTGTTTCGACCAGTAAATGCAACCACTGAACTCTTCTGGAATTTCTCGTCTTCGGGCGGCAACACTTTGTCTGCGAGTCCGGCAGTTGGCTGCGCGACAAACAAGCAGTTTGACGCGCAGCCTATTTGTCTAGCTGCGTGAGACTGTTGCCAAGACGCATCCAAGTAAATTGTGCAAAAAAAACTGGCCTTGCAAGGCCTTTCCCAGACCACCCCGCAACCTCCGGAACCTGCCTTGAACCTTACACCTGCACCAGACCACCCGGAACCTCCGGAACTAGCAGACCAGACACCCCGGAACCTCCGGAACCTTCGTTGAACCTTACACCTAGTCTGCACCAGACCATGCCGGAACCTCCGGAACCTTCCTTGAACCTTACGTGGAACCTGGAAGCTGAACCTTACACCTGGCCGTCACCAGACCACCCCGAACCTCCGGAACCTTCCTTGAACCTTGCACCTGGCCTGCACTACACCACACCACGAACCTGCCTTGAACCTCACGCCTGACCTGCACCAGACATCCCCGGAACCTCCAGAACCTTGCTCGAACCTCACACCAGAGCTCCCTTACACCTGGCCTGCCCCGGAACCTCCGGAACCTTGCTTGAACCTGCCTCCAGAGCTCCCCCAAGCCACCCCCAAACCTTATCAGGGCTGAGACCCCTTAGCTTTCAGCTGTTGGGGAATTATCTGCTAAGTCCATATCTCCCAGCTGTTGGGGGGAAAACAACAAAAAACTGAACAAAAAACGGCAACTGCTGGGTCTAGCCGTGTTTCTGGTTACCATTCTAGGGGTATCTTCCCCGTTGAGAAACGCAAGATGGTTGTCCCTTTTCAGATGCCCGCGCGATCAAAGTCTCAGTACCAGCCACTAAACACGAAAGAGCTATGGTACTCCCGATATGTGGCCATGGGTCAAAACCCCGTACCCCCAGTGAACATCCCAATCCCCACTAAACTAGACTAAAATGGGTGGTGCACCTATCCCAAAATCGGATCCCATTGGTTTTGAATTTGGTACAAAAAACAACTCCGTCCTCTGCCTCCCCCGGCTGCATGGGCACGTCCCCAAAGCCCCGCTGCAGCTGGTAGACCTTCTCTCCGACAACGAAGGGGGTGAACACTTCAAACAAAAACATGTCCATTGGCCAGCCCCTTCAAACGTGTCCCTTGGAAATGGCCTTTAGGGCAAAATAATGCTTTTGTGCATTTGTTTTTGTTGTTTTGCTTGAATTCAATCTTCTGAGCTCTTTGACGCCCACAAATGATTGGCCGATTTCTAGCCAAATGGTCCCCAGCCCCGGCCCCCACGCCCCCCACCCCCCCCCCCCCCAACCGGGAAAAAAAAAGGAAGAAAGGAAGAAAGGAAGAAAGGAAGGAAGGAAGGAAGGAAGCAAGCAAGCAAGAAAGAAAGGAAAGGAAGGATGGAAAGGAAAGAAAGAAAGAAAGAAAGAAAGAAAAAGAAAGAAAGAAAAAGAAAGCAGGAAAAGAAAGACAGGAAAGAAAGAAAGAGCAAAAAAAAGAAAGGGCACACCCGTTTGGTCATGCGTCAAGGGGGACCCTCGCAAGCCCAAAGATGTCCCTTTTAGTTTCCAGTACCAACCTGAAGAGAGTAGCCTCAAAAAAAACACCACACTGTGGGCTGGGCACCCCAATTTTGACCATCTAGCTATGCCTGCATCTGCACATTTGACTGCACCTCTATCCACCTAAAATGATTTAAAGCGCTTTAAAGCACTTTTGGATTCAAGATTCAAGATTCAAGATCTAGAGTCCTGGGAATCTTGCATCTTGGATTCTTGGATCCAAAAGTGCTTTAAAGCGCTTTAAGCGTTTTGGGGGCCCCATACTGAGCTCAAGATTCAAAAACGATAGTCCTGGGAATCTTGAATGCTATATCCGAAAGCGCTTTCGGAAAGCGAAAGCTGTGAGTGATTCATGTTTGGTTGTGCACCTCATTGGAGAAATCCACTCCAACTCTTGGATATTGAAAAAACCCGCAAATACGAGTAGAAATACCAGTGTGGTGCGCGCGTCTTAGTAGGTTTTGTGCAGCACTGATTTCGTTCAGGGAAGTGAGTTGTTTTAGCAGACAGCGTGGCTTTGGTCAAGGCATATAACATGTGAGCAGAAGGTGTAGTTGTATTGGCCAAGGTTTGTGAGCTGACAGACGAAACGGACTTGCAGATGAGTTGAGATGAGAGATGGAAGATGCGCAGGTACTGGCAGAGACTTGCAAGTTGACAGAAGAGGATTTGCACATCAATTGACATGAGAAGTCCAAGATGCGCAGGCGAAACAGATGCCCTTGCGCGGTCCTTGCTTCTGACGCTATGTTCAAATTCGCTTGTGTTGAAATACATTTAGTTTATGGCCAGAAGGTGTATGAGATACGAGTAAGATTAAACAGGAATCTAAAGGAGGAAAGCCACAAACATGTTTCAGAAAGTCAAATGGCTAGCAAAGGCTTGATGAATCATCTGCGCAAGTCTGCCAACTTTGTAAAATGTTACATATAAGCAGCCGGCGCAGGTTTGGGGGGTGCACACATATATAATATATTATATATGTATATATATGTATATATGTATATATGTATATATGTATATATGTATATATGTCAGTATATATGTATATATGTATATATGTATGTGTGTACATATATATATATATATGTATGTATGGGTTTTGAAGCGAATCCAACGTAGCTTCGGCTCCGTCCGAGTACACCGAGCGCCTTCTCCAGCAGCGCCTGCGCGTCTGCCAGCCAGCCACCGCTGCTTTTGGGGCGCTCCTCGCAGGTGAGCCGCCACTTGGACTTCCACTCCAGCCTGATGCGCACCTCGAATTGGTGGGGTGGGGGGGGTGGAAGGGGGTGGGGTGGAAGGGGTGGGGTGGAAGGGGTGGGGGGGGGGGGGGGTGGGGTGGGGGGATGTTTTTTTTTGCAAGCCCCCACCGAACCTTACGCTAACAATAGCTCTGGGGATCTCTGATGTGTCGAAACACCCAACCGAATAATTTCTATTCTGGAATTAGGGCATCTCAGATCTCTTTGCAACCCCCAACCCAATTCTCCCCCCGCCCCCAAGAAAAAAAGAAGAAGAAGAAAACACTTTGGACACACTAGATGTTGTGGCAACCCTGCGTTCCTGTGAATTGGGTATGGGTGAGGAACTTTAGAATCCCTCTTTCCGTCTTCCGATCGGGCAAGCCTTCCATTTTGGGGTGACCAATCCGATGTGTTGACCCCAAAATTCCATGGGGCTACTTTAAGTCGCAAATCTTTCTGGTGGTTTTCCTGGTCATCCCACGTATCTCGGACCTTTTCATCCACCAACTGACTTCATCCTAAATCCTCCAGTGGAGAGGTCAGAAGAAATGTACCAACTTTCTTCTGTCGTCTATTTTAGTAGGGGAAGGGCCCTCCCAACCCAAAAAGTTGGCTTGTGTTGGGCACCTAGCTGGAAAAAACCTGGCGATCATCGCCGCGACGAGAGAAACTATCCAACTCCGGGGCCCGCGCCACCCGCCCGGAGTCCAGCACCACGGTCTCAGAGACCTTGGCGCCCTCCGAAAGAGTCAGCTGTGCCGCCTGCTCCCAGACCTGGATCGAGAGGAACCTTTCGGAGAGGTGGCTGGCTGGTGGCCGGCACGCCAGGGCTAAGCAAAGGGGAAAATGGGGATATGTTCGTTTCAGCCAAATGGAAGCAGCATTCCAAATGCTGAAGGACTGGGCTCTCCGTTTCCAGATGGCCCGCTACAAGTGACAGCCTTTAGTGGGTTAAATGCGGACATCCAAGCACGAAACCAACTAAAAAGCTCAAACAACTTAAGGGAATGATTTCGGAAATGCAGCAACTAAACACCAAAAACCTCCAAAAAATCCCAAGGAATCGGATGCCTGGGAACCACCAGGCAACCTTCTTTCACGGGGCCAAAGGCTTTTTCTCACTTGAGCGGATTGTCAAACAAGGCCACTAAACTTGTCTGGCAGCCTGAAAAAGCCGGATATCTTTAGGAGGGGGGCTGTGAATAAACGGGAACATGTGTCAGGGGTCGCTTAAAGCACACATTCCGACAACACTTCTTCTCACTTCCCAAAAACTATCATGGGCATGTTCAGATGGGGAAAGGTCGTCCTTCATGAAACGCGGATTATCTGCAACATAAGATTGCACCACCACAAACAAAGAAATACGAAAAACAATGATATATATATATATACATACATAGTCGTCCACATATAGACATGTATGGGCTTGTCTGTTTTAGCCCCCCCCCCAAAAGAAAAAAAAATAAGAAAAGAGATGGTTTTCCTGTTGGTGTCCCTTCAATTGCAAACAAGACCAAGGGGATGCCCTCCAAAAAATCAAAAGAGACGCACCCAGATTGTATATACACACACACACACAAAGGGCCCAGTCCACGCGTCCGCGCGTCCACGCGGTCCACGCGCCTGCTGGTACAAGGTCTCGATGGCCTGGTCTGTCTTCTCGTCGTAGGGCACCCGGGAGGAGGAGGAGGACACCTCTCAGACAATTCTAGGGGTTGATTCGGTTGGGAGGTCCCAACTCCTATAGGTCCAGCACGGTTTCCTCAACAGGAACTCTTTTGATGCTTGGTTACAAGCACTCCTGAAGGATTGATTACTCTAGGGGCCTCTGAGAAAATTCGATCGATGGCGTCGATGGGGTCGATGGGGTCGATGGGAATGAGAACTGGAATCAGTTCTCGAGAAGCCATCCGTCCGAGTTGGCTTCCTTTCAGGAATCCCCCAAGCTCTAGGGGTTGATTCCTTGTCCATTCTTTTCAACCATCGTTCTTTCCAAAAACCAGCCGTTCTCCCTGGGTTTCCGGAGGTTTTCTTGAAAGAAGGATCCCTGGAAAGAATGGGTAAGGTACCTCTAGAAAAATTCCAACTGCGCTGCCCCGTGTTTTCAGATCCGCTACAAGTGACGCCAGCGTTCAGTGGGCGAAATTCGTTGATGCCAACCACTAACCCAACTGAAAACCTGAAAAGCTAAGGAAGCGATGGGAACCACCAAGGTTTAACCTAAGAATCTAAAGGATTCATGGGATTGGGGGGGACTTCAACCTTCCAACCCTTGGTATGGTAGATATGGTAGACCAATCATCCGATTAATCCGACCTTCTTCAGCTTTGCTTCCCTGACAAAGCCCACCTATACAACCCTTGGTATGAGCATGCAAACAATGTTCTGTTTTTTTGCAACCCCTTCTAAAAGTGAGCAGAACCCAACAAAAACAAAAACTGTACAATGATATGACTGCAGCGTGAACAAACAACTGTTTGTTAATGTGTTTAGATGATTCCAAGAGCACAACAATACATCACATTACAAACAAATGGAAGCAAATTGATTGGCTTGAAACTTCCGCCCCCATTGCCGGCTCAACGGCTCAACTGCCCTCACCTTTGCGCTCCGTATGTTTCCGCCTGCATCACCCTGGCCCCAACAGAAACTCGAGGCCGAAACGGCTTAAGGAAACATCGGGGCCCTTGTCCTACGAAGTCCTCGTAATGGGCAAGCGCACCCAACAGGATTGGATGATTGAGCCGACCCCACTTCCGCCAAGACCTAAAAACGGCCTTAAGGAAATTGAATCGACAAAGAGATAGGCGGGAAGCTGAACGTGTGTGCGGCGGGTTTCGCGATGCTACAGTACCTCCTGGAAAGGACAAAAACACCCTCCTGCCCACCCAAGCTGAGGGAAACATCGGTCGCCCCCCAAGCGTGTCTTTTTCGGAGACCCCCAAAAAAAATCGTGGTTTTCCTTTTTGGCTTCCCGAAAAAAAACCGCCCCAACAGGGGTATGTTCTATCCCCAGGCCCCAACCCAAACAGCCCCCCCATCCGCCTGGGCGAACCACAAGCTCCGGCGCACGGGGCAGGTCTTCCTCGGGGGGTCGCTGCCGTAGTTGTCCAGCAGCTGCCGCTCCTTGAGGTCCACGCGGCACCTCGGGGTCGGAACTCCGCCGAGATGTTTTTTTGAACTTCCATCGGGCCTTCAGGAGGGGGTTTAGGGGAGGGGGGGAGGAGGGGGGAGGGGGGGAGGGGAAAAATAGACAAAATATGTCCAGCAGTGATGAGTTCCTTTTTTAAAACAAGGGAGATCTTTCCAGGGATCCTTTTCAGGAAGCCAGCAAAAACCCAGAAGAATCGGATCCGGTGTTTGAAAAGAACGATGGTTGAAAAGAATGGACAAGGAATCAACCCCTTGAAGAAACCGAAGGAGTGAGGCCTTCTGGTGTCCTCCTAAATGGCTCCAAAAAGGTGCCCTCAAAAATACGACACGCAGAAAGGCCAAAAAAAGGTGCAGCATCCTGGCAGGTATCGGCTATCTACATGGAAAGGGAAAACGATGGGTGTCCCAAAACAGGCATCGGACCCTGAAAATTGGCGGTGTTCCTTTTGTTTCCTTTGAACCCCAAAAAGGGCACCATCATTAAATGAGCTCAGGTGATATCCCCAAGCGCGCGGTGCTCTTTTTTGTGCTCGGGCCCGGAGCAAACCCAAGCCACCAATCATAGCGGGCCCCGATCAGGGCCCGACTGGGGCCCGGGGAGCAAACCCGATCCAAGCCACCAAGCATATAAGCGCACCACCGGTCTTGCTTAGAACGTCGCTTCAGCTGTTGCGGCACAGCCGGCGACGCCCAACGCTGCCAGCGATCCCCAATCGCCCGACGGCACAATCGGGGCCGACCAAGACTTTGGAAGCTCCAAACTGCCAATTCAATCAGGCTCTTAATGGGCAGAAGTTGCAGCAGAAGTTTTGTGGAACCATTTGTGGAACCATGTGTGGAACCCTTGTGGAAATCTGTGGAAGCTTGTGAACCTTGCCTCAGAGCCACCCCAGACCACCCCATAGCCCTCGCAGAACCGCGGAACCCTCATAACTCCTTGTAAAGCGCTTGTGGAATTGTGGAAGGAACCCTTGTGGAACCCCTGTGGAACACTGTGGAAAGTTGTGGAACGGCCACCCCGCAGCCCTCGCAGAACCTCGTGAAACCCTCGAACCCTGGTAGAAAGCTGGTGGAACCCTGGTGGAACCCTCGTGGAACCTTTCCTCCGGGCCGCCCCAGACCACCCCGGAGCCTATCTGGGCTGAGACTCCAAAGCTTTCAGCTGTTGGGGGAAAAAAACACCCAAAAGGGGAAGGGCGTTACTTGTACCCTGACTAACATGGAAGCTCGCGAATGGAAGACAAAGGGTTCATTTACAGAGGCCCCTTGAGACAGCTTCCCGCTGATAGTCTGAGTGTGGCCTCCGACCCAATGCCCCCAGCCAAGCCGCCTGCCGCCCTCCACGTCGACGACTTCTTCTTCCGCGGCCTCGAGCCTCGCCTGGTCGAAGTGTCGGAAGGCCTGCCACTCGGCGCCCGCGTCCTGCCAAAGCCACGTGTAGGCCGCCGGCGCCGCGTCCTTCGGCAGGCTCATGGCGCTGAACACGTGTTTTGATGAAGCTGGAAGCAGCTGAGCGCTTTGAGAGATGTCTCAAAGCCCTTGTTCGGATCGTCGCGCCGGAGCTGAAGTTTTCAGGGGGCCGTACGGCATCGCTTTGTCTGGGCGCTCTTTTACTGGTGCTCGATGCGGCCAGAGAGGCCAGGTGAACCCAGGGGGCATCGAGAAAACCATCGGAGATGTTGGGAAGTCAACAGGCATCCTCTAATTCGACCTCGAGGGTGTCTTTGTATGGCTCAATGGCTGCGGCGGTTGAAGTGACATCCTCAAGATGACCCTCTCTTGGTTGCTGCTGATCCCTCTGCAAAAAGTTTAACTGTTTGTGGGTTTAGTGGAAAACCCCTTGATTTCCCAAAAAGCAAAAGTCTAAAGATCCAACCCAATAGCAGTCAAGCTCTAAGCGGTTAGAAACAAGAACGAGAGATCCCACTGCTCTGGCTAACTGCGGCAGGCGGGCGGCCGGCTGCCGTCGTTCTCCTCGGTGATTTCCAAGGGTATGGGATACACCTGGCCGAACACGGCTTTGAATGGACCCCAAGCCATACAAAGAATTCGAAAGGCGGCCACAGCTATTGCTTGTTGGGACTGCACCTGTTGTATTGACAGGGGGGATGTTCCCCTCGAAAAGTGACGATTCCCCCCAAAAGGGGAGACCCCCCCTACTGTGGATGGACGAAATCCCCTCGCACCATGGTTCAGAGACCCTGCATTTGCTCGATTCGATTCCCCAACGTAAACACCAACAAACCTTAGGGTTTACCGTCCACAGCATTCATTGAGTTGAGTTGAGGGGCGACCCGCCGAGCAAACTTCCCTGCGGCCAGAGCAGTCCCTCTGTCGGGTCCACAGCGTTCAATCCCACCCCAGGTGCGCATCGGCGGTCGGCCTGAGTCTGCGTCTTGGCCGCATAGATCAGCAAGCTCTCCTGCGAGCCAAACTTTCGAACTTCCAATATGGCTTTGTCTTAAAATTCGACATCCCCCAAAATGGTTTCGATGTTCCTTGTGATGTCCACTGAAAACCAAACATGTGATGCTCCTTGATGTCCCCTGAAAACTAAAAAATGATGTTCCTTGGGATTTCCCCTTAAAACCAACCCAAAGCGAGTTCGCTGAAAAAAGACACCCCCATAGCCCACATGTTTGTGTTCGGGGAGGGGGCTGAGCATTGCTCCTTACCGCGTCAAAACGTCAACATTGAACCTTGAGCAACAGCAACTCAACCTACTTCATCTTCAATCAAACACTGAGCTTCTGACTCCTTCCTCACAAACCCGCTGTATGTGCCCATCTTGCCCTCTTTCATGGCTATAATAAAACTACGAATGGGTGCAATTCGGGACCCTTCGGACACCTACTGGCTCCCCATTGCTTCATTTCTGAGGGGCGGAAGTTCCAAATCCATGGCGCCCAGGCGTCCACTCGCACCGACCGACTGACTGACCCTCCACGGATCAAGAAGGTGTTGGTGTCCTTTTTACAAACCTCAAAAGAAAATGGTTTATTATTTTTTGAAGAAAAAAAAGATACGCCAAACCACAAGTCCCAAGGTCCTTGTCACAGCCGCTATAGGCCACTGGCAGCTTCTGGCACGAGCGCGGCAGTGAACGAAAGCAGCAAAACGGTCTAGTGAGGATCTGAGTTGTTCAAAACGGAGTCTTGGCCAACCTTCATCCCAACAAACTACAAAGACCAAATCCTTACGCAACCCAAGGATGAAAAATTGCCAAGCCCAGAGTAACTCTGCTGCAAACTGGTGGGAAGAGCAAAAAAGACAAATGATACGACAGAGGCCATGCCAAAGTTTTCTGCGGCCATATGGCCTTCAGGAGAAGGCCAAAACCATTCCCTTCGGAAGACAAGCTTGGGTGATGACTCCCTTGCCAAGTCCTTTCTGCAGCCGACCACTCGGTCATCCCCCCCGAGCTGGCGCATTTCTCCCATCACACGCGACACGGTCACAACTCCCATAGGTGCCATAGGTCAAGCGCAGTTCCCTCAACAGGAACTCTTTTGATGCTTGGTTACAAGCCCTCCTGAAGGATTGATTGCCATCCCTTACGCCAAGTAATAAAGCATGCTATGAGCAATGGTCTGCATAAACCCCTATTGACAGGGTTCCCCATAATTCCCCTTAAGCATCACCAAGAAAAACTCACCTTGCACGGGGCCAAGAGGTGATGTTCAAAAAGCAAATGGACGATTAGGAACCCTTGCTGAGAATGGGTGAGGGGCAAAAAAAGGTGTCAAGGCACAAGGATCCCGTAGGCACCCTTGGGCCAGGCTGTGGTAACCTAAAAGCCGATGTTCAAATCCAAAAGTGGACAAATGATATATGGCTGTCCTTTTTGGGGAATCGGACCCAACAATTGGTTTTTCCCGGCTTGGCTTCCTGACAAAAAAAATGTGGCCTCAAACAAGACACACCCAAAAAAAAAGATAGGACTTGGAGCAGACAGATCGCTGGAGAGAACCGAACTCCATGCCGGCTCCGCCAGGAAACCTTCCAGCCAGACCTCACCGTCCTCCTCCAGCCGGTGCAGGCCCTTCTCCATCCACTCCTCTCGATCTTTTGCTTTTGGGACTGGATCTAAAAGCCTACCTAGATAGCCAAGTTGCCGCTTTTTCAGTCACTGTTGCTGGTCTTTGGGGTAAAGTGCATGGAAAAAAACAGCAATTGGCGATCCAGGTAAGTTGAACCGGATGCCTGGGACCACCAAGACATTTTTTTGGTTTGGAGAGATCCGGACACCGGAAAACAAAAAGACGGCCACGGTCTGCTCAGGAAAAACCATCTGTCGAAGAAAAGTCATGGCTCTTTTTGACACAGAATTCGTTCCGTCAGGCTGTTCCTGGTGCCTGGAAAGACATGGCTGTGGCTCAAAAAAAGTGGTACCAAAATGGCACCTTGGAGCCTAAAAGCCTGCGTAACCCTACAGTAGCGTTCTAATTTTGAGCCATACATAGAGCCATGGCTTACTTTTGCAGGGGTGCCTTGTTCTGTTCCCGGCTTCAGCGACAACTCATGAAGCCGCAAGGACGGCACCCTTGGGCCCCTCTCAAAATTGGGAACGTCTCCAGGTGGTTAGTTTCCTTTCGGTTTCCTTTCAAAACCATCCAAGAAGGGCTTCGAGCGAAGTCATACTCAAAACGCGCTAAAAAAGGTGGTCTACCCAGAACCATGTAAGGCAAGTGGATTGTCCCTCACTACCCTCCAATTACCCGAATCGGTTTTGAGCAAGTGACTCATTTCTTCGAGTTTGGGCGGACCAAAAGTCAGAGTCTGCTGCCGAGGGCACTCTCTCCTCCAACGTGTCTGACGGATGGATCGCCTGCAATTTTCTTCAGAGCCCTCCCGTTGAAACATGAGGTGATGCGGATGTCTGTGAAAATAAGGGACCCCCAAAATGGTACGGTTCCTCTGGTTTCCTTCAAAACTTAGAACCACCAAAAGAGGGCACCCTCAACCCATGTGTACATGACATGCATGCAAAAGAGGACGGCATCTCTATCATCAAGGTCCTCAAGACTTACCGGCCCGGATGCCAAAAGGAGCTCCCTGCAATTGGAGCGCATTCCTCTGGCGTGGAGGGGTTGACCTATGGTAAGACACTTTGGGCCCCAATGATGTGCCAGGCATCGCTTGCACAGGCCCTAGGCCCTAGGCCTTGAAAAGCAGCTCTCTCTGCGGATGGGCCTGGCTGGCCACTCAGCTCATGTGGCAATATGTTACTGTCACAAGAGCAAGCTGCAAAAGAGCAGTTGGGGGTTGATCGGCATTCCTGGCCCCAAAACCGTGGGTAACTGTTCTGTGGTTTCCCTGATGGTCGTCCCCTGTAAAGGACCTTTTGATCAACCCATATGTATATGTATATCTATTTATGTATATATGTGGATATAGATGTATACATATATGACGCATATGCACGTCATAGGTATTTGTTTAACAACAACAAAAGAACAAAATACATATGTATATGTATATGTATATGTAGATGTGAAGGTTTTAAAACAAATGTGTATGCTTCGTGTGTGTTTTGTGTTGAACAACCTTGCCTTCGTTGCCATCAACGAGGCGATCCTCGGCGGGCGCTGGCTGAGACTATCAGCGCCATCCTCATCCTGCCAGATGCAGCCCGGCTCAATGTCCGGGGCGGCAACTCAAGCATTCCAAGGGTTTTTCTACCACACCTTGGAATTGCGCCTTCTAGGGAATCACCCTATCTGCCTGTTCCCAGATAACACCTAGTCATTTGGGGCTTGTTTGGGATTGCGTTGGGCAATTTCCCTAGGGTGCAATCCCAGGGTGTAATGGGAACATCCTCATCAGCACGCATCCATACATCCAGAGATCTGCCCAACAAAACAAGCGCACAAGCCGGACCCAGTTGGGTGTCTTGCTTGCGGGTACCCTCCTTTTTGTAAAGCATGTCCACTAAAGTTTTATGTTGGGTCCGGGCCAGCCGAAATGTCTACAAGTACTGCAAGCAGTACTACAAGCAGTACTACCAGCAGTACTACCAGCAGTACTACCAGCAGTACTAAAAGCAGTACTGCAAGCAGTACTACAAGTGCTACAAGCAGTACAACAAGTACTACAAGCAAGACTACGACCCCCAATAATATATATATTGATTCAAAAAGAAACGGAAACTGGCAGGGGGAAAAGGAAGCCGACCTTGCCAAACTCCACTTTTCGGGGGTCGAAGGGACGAGCCGCCCGTTTCGGCCCCACCTCCATGGCGCGAAAAGCGGCGTGCAATGCGCGCAAGTCGAAGCCAAAGGCTCGAGCCGCTTTCGGACTGCGAAGTGCGAAGAGATCGTCAACGTCCTATGTGGGGTTTGGAGGGGAGGGGAGGAGGGGTCCGAAGTCCTCTTACTGGTGGTTTTTTGGTTTGTTGGTGGTTTGGAGCCCAGTGGTGCGGCGGTTGTCCCGGGGTGGTGAGTGACCGTTTCTCATCTACCCTCAAGAACCCGGGAATCAAATCCCCACCAATCCAATCCAATTGAACAGCTTCTGCTAATCGCTTCATCGCTTTATCACTTAGCTGCTTACCCTAAATCGCTTGATCGAGGAGAGGGGAGGGGAGGGGAGGAGAGGGGAGGGGAGGGGAGGGGAGGGAGGGGGGAAGGGGGCTCCCTCCGCTCCTCCCCTCCCCTCCCCATTTAGCTCTTATTAAGCCCTTAAGGCTGTATTTGGGCTACCCCCTGTGAGTACGATGCAAACCAGTTTGCAGGTTTGCCCGTGCAGATCCCTTCTATTGGGATGTTCTGCCTGAATTCTTAGGGATCTGTGGAGTTCATAGTCATACATCTCCAAGGTCTTAGAAACATAACCCTCTCCAATTGTCGCGTTCAATTTCCACAGGAGCCACCAGCACATGCATTCACCAGCACATGCATTGATTTCTTTGTCTGCGCGCTTGCCGTTAAGCTCAAGTGATCCAAAACAACAGTCCCAGGCCATGAATGCCTTTCTTGTGTCGGTCACCCGCAATTCTGTGAGGGATTCATTCGGAGGGTTCACATGCCAAGTAGTTCCCTGAGGCCAAGCAGAACAAGTCATACGGGGACCGCGCTGCCCGTCTCAGCGTCCGAATATCCTCACTCATGAAAGAAGACGTAGGGGCCTGCGGCTGCAAGATTCCATGCCAGGCAAAAGTGCAGATGTCGGTCATCAAAACCAGTGACAGAAGAGGACATGCCAACTGCCGTCCCAAGCCTGACATGGCTGGGTGCCTCGTTGATCTCTTGCTCACTTATTTTTTGTGGGATACTGTATGTGACAAGTCGCTCCACACTCTGAAGCTAGAAGTCCGAAACAGAAGGCAAGGAGCGACTGACAGGTGCATCTGCCACTTGATCAATCTCTATGAACACCCTTCCGCGCGCGCACACACCATGCAAGGTTGGCGCAGCAACTCCACGCCTCCAATGTCCTGCATCACGCCGGCAGTGGTGGTCCAGAACACCAGCCAGAGCAGCCAGCCGCCCGGCCCGTACCATCCCCTGAGCCAAAGGCGCCCCTCGTGTCCCAAGACGGTCTCAAATGGGACAAATCGGGTCCAAGATCAAAATCGAAACAGGCGAAAGGGGAACGGTCAAGATCAGAAACAAAACGGCGAATCTGGTCAAAGTCAGAAACTGGAATCGGTGGTGTCCCTTTACCACTGAACCGGGGTGACTTTGATTGCGCCGACCCCAGATTCATCAACCCCAGTCCAGGGGGATGTCCCTGGAATCACCTGAGGGGCTTTCCCCCACCTATTCATACTGGGATGATCATCAAAGGATTGTGTGTGTGTGTGTTTTTTAAAGGTTTGTTTCTTGTTGTTCAGGGTGGATGGCTTTTCAACTATTTTGCTTTTGTGGCTTATGCGGCTTTTGGTGGCTTTTTCGGCTTTGGCTTTTCGCATCCTCTGCATGATCTGTTCCTCTCTGGCAGGTGGCTTTTGCGCCTTTTCGTTGGTTTAGGTGGTTGTTTTGGCTTTGGCTTTCGCATCCTCTGCTGTCCCAACTCCTCTCCGGCAGGTGGCTCGTTGGGCTTTTGCAGCCTTTCGATTGCGTTGTTTGGCTTTGGCCTCAGCATCACCCGATCCTCTGGGGCACATGTTTGTACATGTATACATGTTCCCGTCGCCCGTCGTCCCCAGCCCCCGCCCCCCCTCCCCCCCAATGGTATGGGTCCATCCAGGGGGGCAGGGTCCCCCCCCCCACAGGGGGGGGGGGCTTGTGGGGCGGCTTGCTCCAGTGTGCGCGTGACGTTGTGGGCGTGTTTGCGGCGCTGTTCGTGTGATGCGCTGCAATGCGATTTGCTCATTTTGCAGCACGCGACAAGTTGCTGCGCTGTCGCAATTGATGCGCGATGCCACGACGCAGTTTGTGGTTTGCAGCGCCACAACCAAGTGCTGTCGCAATTGATGCGCGATGCCACGACGCAGTTTGTGGTTTGCAGCGCCACAACCAAGTGCTAACCAAGTGCGCTGCAACGCGCCAGTGGCAAACGCACTTTGCTTGCTACCTATTATAGACCCCAGCGGGCGGTGTGGGAACCATGGTCGCGGGGGGCTTTGCGTTCACACTGTGCTACCATTCTCCCCAACCCCCATTCCCACAAATAACGGGGAAGATGGGGAACAATGGACCCCCCCCACCCATCTTACAGGGGGGCGGGGGGCTTGTAGGGTCACACTGTGCTACCTTCTTGACTGAGCATGACCATTGGGGGGGGGTGGGGGGGGGGGGGCCAAGGAAGCCTGGAACATATATATATATATATACATATATATATACATATATATATATATGTATGTATGTTAATGTTTACGTTGATGTATGCATGCATGTGGTCAATATAATCTATGTATGTATGTAATGTTATGTACTGTAATGCAACGTAATGTCATGTAGTGTAGTGTAGTGTAGCGTAGTGTAATGTCATGTAATATAATGTAATGTAGAGTAATGTAATGTAATGTCATGTCCTGTAACGTAATGTGATGTAATGTAATGTGGGTATGCATGTAATGTAATGTAATGTAATGTCATGTCCTGTAACGTAATGTGATGTAATGTAATGTGGGTATGCATGTAATGTAATGTAATGTATTGTAATGTAATGTAATGTAATGTAATATAATGTAATGTAATGTAATGCAATATAATGTAATGTAATGTGATGTATTGCATGCAGTGTATGTATGTACGCATGTATTGTATTGTATTGTATTGTCTGTATTGTCTTTGTATTGTATTTGTATTGTGTTTGTATTCTATTGGCATTGTAATTATTTTGTATTTGTTTTGTATTTGTATTGTATTTGTATTGTATTTCTGTTGTATTTGTATTGTATTTGTATTGCATTTGTATTTGCATTTGTATTGTATTTGTATTGGATTTGTATGTGTATTTGCATTGTATTGTATTGTACTGTATTATACTATATTATATTTAGTACGTAATGTATTTATGTATGCATGTATGTACGTACGTAGCTATCTATGTACGTATGTATCGATCTATGTATGTCTACACGTATGCACTTCTTGGAACATCATGGAGGCGCTGCCGCCCGCCCCCTGACCCCCCCCCCCGTAAGAGGGAAGAATTGGGCCTATGTGTCGCCCAAGGCCCTGAATAATAGTTTCCCGGGTTCTCCCTGGGCCAGTTCCAGGATATTAAAATAAATAAATAAATAAATCAAAAAAACAATGATTTGTTTTTATTTCTGGAGGCCTCCATTTTTTGATGTTTTCTAAATAAAATAGAAATAGATAGTTTCCTGGGTTCTCCCTAGGCCAGTTCCAGGATATTTAAAAAATGTTAAAAAATCAAATATATAGTTTTTTTTTTTTTTTAACAACTCAAATAATTTAAATAGTTTTTTATTTTTTTAAAATTTCTGAAGGCCTCCAAAAATTTAAAAAATAAATAAAAATCAATTAATTTAAAGAACAAATCAAATAATTTAATTATTTATATTCTTTTTTTTTAATTTTCTGAAGGCCTCCAAAAATTTAAAAAATAAAAAAATAAAAACCGACTAATTTAAAGAAAAAAACAAATAATTTAATCATTTATATTCTTGTTTTTTAATTTCTGGAGGCCTGCAAAAATTTAAAAAATAAATAAAAATCAATTAATTTAAAGAAAAAATCAAATAATTCAATTATTTATATTTTTTTTAATTTTCTGAAGGCCTCCAAAAATTTAAAAAATAAAAAAATAAAAACCGACTAATTTAAAGAAAAAAACAAATAATTTAATCATTTATATTCTTGTTTTTTAATTTCTGGAGGCCTGCAAAAATTTAAAACAATTAAAAAATATAAATAGTTTCGTGGGTTCTCCCTGGGCTAGTTCCAGGATATTTAAAAAAAATTAAAAAAAAAAAATAATTTAAAAAAAATCAAATAATTTAAATATTTATATTTTTTAAATTTATTAAATTTCTGGAGGCCTTCAAAAATTTAAAAAAAAATAACAAATATAAATAGTTTCCTGGGTTCTCCCTGGGCCAGTTCCAGGATATTTAAAAAAAAAAAATAAAATAAAAAATAATTTAAAAAATTCAAATAATTTAAATATTTATATTTTTTAATTTTTTTAAATTTCTGGAGGCCTCCAAAAATTTAAAAAATTTGAAAAATATAAATAGTTTCCTGGGTTCTCCCTGGGCCAGTTCCAGGATATTTAAAAAATTTAAAAAATTCAAATAATTTAAAAAATTCAAATAATTTAAATATTTATATTTTTTAAATTTTTTAAAATTTCTGGAGGCCTCCAAAAATTTAAGAAATTCAAAAAATTCAATTAATTTAAACAATTCAAATAATTTAAATATTTATATGTTTTAAATTTTTTACATTTCTGGAGGCCTCCAAAAATTTAAAAAAATTAAAAAATATAAATTGTTTCCTGGGTTCTCCCTGGGCCAGTTCCAGGATATTTAAAAAAATTAAAAAATTCAAATAATTTAAAAAATCAAATAATTTAAATATTTATATCTTTTAAATTTTTTAAATTTCTGGAGGCCTCCAAAAATTTAAAAAACTTAAAAAATATAAATAGTTTCCTGGGTTCTCCCTGGGCCAGTTCCAGGATAGTTGAAAAATTAAAAAAAAAAATCAAATAATTTAAAAAAATCAAATAATTTAAATATTTATATTTTTATTTATTTTTTTTTAAATTTCTGGAGGCCTCCAAAAATTTGAAAAAATTAAAACATATGAATAGTTTCC